ATCCTTTAACCCTGATAAACTCCCTGCTCACCAAGCTGGACTTTGGGGGTGGTCTGTTACTGGTGTTTTATCCAGCTGAGATGTTTTGCATGTCTCCTCAGTAAATGTTCACTCACCACTCAGAAACTCAGAAGGTAAGCTGGGAGCCTCCCCTGAGACTGAGAACCAAACGCGTAGTCTTCTATGAAAATCCTCAGGCCACAGATAGACTTGAGTGTTAGAATGCAGGGCAAGGGCTAACCCCAGGCCACCTGACTCCCTGGCTCCTTTCTCGTATTTCTAGCCTTTAGTTAACAAAGGCCGCCAAGTTCTCCTATGGAATTTCCCTCTTCCCATTCTCCCAGTCACAGGTAGACTAGGTAACTGTCCTTGATTCTTTGCCAGGCTGCTCCTGACAGAGTAATAACAAGCATCCTGAAAGCAATTTCCTTACAACAACAGAAACAGGTGGCTTACACCTGCTGCTCTGAGCGGCACTTAAGGGCCTAAAGAAATGACTTGCTGAGAACCCGCTGTTCCCAGCACCTGTCCGGTAGGGTCACACCTCCTGTGAGTCCGCTCCAGGGAAGCCAGTGGCCTCTCCTGGGCTCCATGGGTACTGCACTCCTGCGCATACACGTACACACTAACACACGACTACAGTGGGTACTTGCAAAGCATGATCAAATCTGGCCTTAAAAGCCCACAGGGCTTTTATTATACTTTATTTTGTTAATTAAAAAAAAAAAAAAAGCCCACACTATTTCCATCCAGTCTGCTTGTGTACCGGCCTGACATGTATACCATCTCGTCACCTTGAGAATGAGCTGTCAGCAACGGAACAGCCAGCCAGAAAGGAAGCAGTTAAGGAATCCATGAATGTGTGTGTAGCTCACTGGATTTTCAGGGTAACTTTTCACAAAAGCTCTGGTTTCACTTTGGAAACAGCCCCAATAACACTTCCAGAAAACTAACCTGAACACTCCTAGGAAATGAAACCTGAATGTCAGTAAGTGTACCCTGGGAGGCTTGTTTCCTGAGATACCATGGAATCAAATCTCCAGGCAAAATTATATCAGGTGGTGTCATCTCTGAGAATAAATGCATTAAGAGTAATTCATATGACCTTAACCTAATTTTAAATAAACCCCATGTTTTACATGTAAAATTACCCTGGGTACCCAACTTTTCCCAAACGAGTGCATTAGTTGCTGGCTTTCTAAGAACTGCTATAAAGCACAGTGCTTAGACGACAAACACTCATCATCCCAGTCCCTGTGGCTCTGCTGGGTGTATCGAACTCAAGAGTCTCATGAGGCTGCAGCCAATGTCAGCCAGGACTGCAGTCTTCTAAGATGTCCCTAGCACCGGAGACTTGCTTACAGCATACTTCCCTAATATAGCAGTTGGCAAGCACCCCTTGCTTATGACCCCTAAATCCTCTCCATGGAACTGCCTGGGTAGCCTCAAAATTCAACAGCTGGCTCACCTCAAATGAGTTGAGGAGACAGAATGAAGCAATGCATCTTAATACCCCCTTATGTCTATATTCTATTTGTTTGATGTCTCTCAGATTTTGGGTACTTAGGAAGAAAACTGAAGCTCCATGTCTTCAAGAGAAACATAACAAAGACCATGTGTAGAAAGTCAGAATCGCTGGAGAGCAAGAGCGCTGGCCTTTCCCTGTTGTGATGCACCAGGGCCCACTGCACACTATCTGCTTCTCCTCCTTCCTTCCCTCTGTCTCTCTCCCACACCAGAGGTGTGATCACACTTCCTTCACTCCCAGACAGAAGCCAACCCAAGGGAAAATAGTACTTAGTATGGTACCCATTCTAAGAACTTCACGGTCAGAAGGCAACTGCCACACATGTCTGCAGGAGTCAGTCCTTATTACCACTGTTCCCACCTAGTGCATAAAAATGCTATGAAAATGTTGACTTCAAAGCAGCAAGACGGCTCAGCAGGAAAAAGTGTCTGCCATGAAGTTGGATACAGGTAGTTGCAATTAATGATCCTAATGAAATTCTTCCTATAAAGCAACTGTCTTTATGTTTTACATCATTCAATTTGCATACATATATACACATACAGCTATTGTATCTGCCTCTGGAATTCTCCAAACCAACAACCCAGAATACTAGTAAGACCCAGGAGATAATCCAATAATCCAGATGTTATAATTTCACACACGGAAGCACTATTAAGCCGGAAACTGAAAGAACAGGGCGTCTCAGCTGTTAAACTTTCTGAGTGAGGTGACCCGAGCCCATGGTATGTCCTCGCTTAGAAGTAGGTGCTAGCTGCAAAGTAAAGGATAATCATGCTACAACCCACAGACACAGAGGTTAAACAAGGAGGGCTGAAGGGAGCCTAAGGCTCTCCCTTGGAAGGGAAAATGGAATAGACTTCATGGATGGACTGGGGGCAGGTGGAGACGGGAACAGAGAGATCAGGGTTGGGGAGTAGGTGGAAGAGACAACTGGAACTGGGGGGCATCGCAGGGGTGAGGTGGAAACTTAGTGTCATAGACACTCCAAGGAATCTCAAGGACAACACCAGCAAAGACTCCTAGAATGGGGACACGGACCATCCTCTGTAACAAGGCAAGGCCTCAAGTGCAGAGATTGGGACACCAACCCAGCCACAAAACTTCCAACCTACAGTTTGTCATGCCTGCAGGATGTGCTGGGACAGGAGCCTAGCATAATCAGAGAGAGCAGAGAGACTTCACCTAGCAACTGAGGGGAACAGATACAGAGTCACAGCCAAATATTCTACAGAGCTGGGGAGGAAGGACTGGAGGAGCCACAGGGGTCAAGGATACCACAGGAATATGACCAACAGAATCAAATGACAGAGACTCAAGCGGGCTCACGGAGATCAGGGGGCCTGTATGGCTCTGACCTAGGTCCTCTGCACATGTTATGGTGTAGCTTGGTGTTCTTGTGGGAGTCCTAACATGGAAGCTGAAGCTGTCCCTTACTGCCTGCCTTTGGGACCCTTTTCCTCCTACTGAGTTGCCTTGTCCAGCCTTGATGTGATGTGATGTGATGTGTAGCTTGTTATGCTGTGTTTCACTGATGTCCCGAGGCAGCCTGAGTTTTTCTGAGGAGAGGTGGAGGGAAAACTGAAGTCAGGATGTAATATATGAGAGAATAAACAACAACAGAACATGGAGTCTGGTGCTTGCACACGAGACTCAATGTGGAGCTGTTAAAATAAAGCTGAATTTTACTCCTGGGTGCTCCCAGGATCTAGTTTCCTCTCCTACCATGAACACAAGTCCTGGAAATCTTCCAATCTTAGTTCCAAGCTTACAGCAGGAGAGCAGAAATGGCAAGAACTGACAATGCGGGGTGTTGCGGCACCCGGCTTTCCTGGCACCTGGGAAGCAGAGGCAGGGTGCGCTAGCTCTTTGAGTTCTCTACCTGACAGGACCACACAATACTGAGCTAAATCAATGTAAAAATAAAGTTGTGATTTTTTTTTAAGAAATTGTTTTCCATATGCCATTTAAGAATTTTAAAAATTTGGAAAAACTTTGGACAGGACAATGTAGTTAGTGCTATTCCCACATTAGCTACATTTCCTGGCACTGTGATAAAACACCTGAGAGGGAAACGAGGGAAGACTGGGGACAGCATCGAGGCAGGGCAAGCTTGGCAGTGAAAGCAGCTGGGAGCTTCTGCAGAGTAGACCTTTCAGATTGGAGCGGGCCAGGAGCAAAGGGACCAGGGTCAGGGTAGGGTCAGGGTAGGGCCAGAAGCATCACAGCTTGCCCCCAGTGGCCGCCTTCCTACAGCCAGGCTCTGTCTCCTAAGATCCTGAAAACTCCCCAGACAGGAGCAGTAGTTCCAACCCAAGCCCGAGTGCAGACATTTCACTGCTTCTGATCCTGAGATGACAAGACAGTGACTTGGATTAGGATAACAGTGCAACAGACCTAAAGTTAACCACTGTACAAAGATTTTTACTTCTGTACAATGTTTTCTTCTCTTAAGATAAAGTAATGCAGGAAACCTACACCCTAGAAGTAAAAACATAAATGGGGTAGAATTCAGACGCTGTTAAAATGAGGCAGGAGGAGCTGGAGAGCCACTCACTGGTCAGAGCACTGGCTGCTCTTGCAGAGGATCCAGACTTGGCTTCCAGCACCGAGACTTCATTATCATCCTTAACATCACTCTGGGGATCCAATGCCCTCTGCTGGTCTCTGCAGATGCCACACATTCACATGGTGCCAACATGCAGGCAAAACACCCATGCACATAAAATAAACCTTAAAATCAAAACAACAAACCCAAGAAAAGGAAGATGGACCTGGTAAAGACAGATGCTCAAGTCTAAAGCTACACAGTAGCTTTGGAGAGTGTACATAAGCTCTGGTCGTCTAGACAAGTCAAAAATAGACAAGCAGCTAGGTATGGTAGTGCATAGGCATGCTTATAACCCCAGCACTAAGGATCTATATGAGTTTGAGTCTAGCCTAGTCTACGTAGTGAGTTCCAGGCTACTCATGCCTCCTGAGACCTGTCTCCAAAACCAAACAAAAAAAGTACACCAAGTAAGTTTGGTTTCCATGTCGACAGCAGTCACTGTCAAAAGTGTTTCCACTGAACTGCACAAGAACTCTTGAGAACCTAGCAAATTGTCCTCCTCTCATCTTCAGGGCTGTGATCCTCCCACAGAGACAGCAGCAGGCCAGAGGAAGAAAGGTACAGAATGCTGGTATGAGCAATGTTTCCTCATCAAATCATGTATTCACAGATGTACACATATTTCTAGGTTCCCCCTCCCCGAAAGAAAACGTTTTCTTTGCTTCCAGGCTGAATCTGCAAAGATACACAAATCACTCTGTAACAGCATCCTTACATGAACAGAAACAATGAGAACTTGGAATACTTACTAAGCATGGATTATTATTATCAGGTTGCCAGTAAACAGTTTAATGGGCTGCTTCAAACTGTGATAATTTAGATGTGAAAGTTACTCATTTCTGATGAAAATTCTGGAACACATTACAATTGGATAAAATATTTATTACTTTTTCCCCTGTGATATGACATCATTTAGTTTTGCTAGCTCTCCAAAAGACACAGTTGCAGAACCTCTTTCAGCCGGCCTTGCCTGAAAACAACAATGAAAGATATTAGATGTAGATGAGGCCAGCCCAAGGTAACGCCAATCATATATATATTATATGATATATACTATTATATATTATACATATATATTCTGCATAATAAAATATACAAGCAACATGGAAAGTTGATCAAAAAGTCAATCAGCAATAGAAAACAAACAGCAACACAACCCTCTAAAGTAAGTGATACCTTAGTACCATTACCTGAGAGTCATGGTATTTCCATCCGATCATGTTGTAGATCTGGTACGTGGCAGGTATGGAGCCGTCCTCATTTCCGTACATTTCTAAAAAGACACATGTGGCTAAACTCTGCAAACAATCAGCTGAGGAAAAGTATTAATCTGCTCAAAATTAAAACCCACCTCAAAGAGAAACGGGTACTAGGATGGCTGCAGGATGGGGAGTGCCTGACACTATGGAAACAAGCTTTTTGGAAACAGATACTATAGAATCTGTGTTTTGAGAGGAAAAACACACACACATACACAAAACCAAAACCCATGAAGTCTGACAGTACCTTATAAGAAGGAACTAGCACTGCAGAATGAATACCACAGCACAAAGGCCTCTGTGACTGCAAGGAGAAAGAGGAGGCGACTCACCTCTGTAAACAGCTGCAGCTGCCAGCATCGTGTCTCGGTGCAGCAGGGCTTTTCTGTTCCAAGAACAGTTGCTCTCACCCATACCTAAAAACAGACACAGGTAGTTTGAGAAAATACTGCAAACCCCTCAGGCAGCTCAGTATCAAGACATGATACATCTTATCCAACACTCATATGCACACACAACATACCTCTCTCTCTCTCTCCCTTTCTCTCCCTCTTTCTCTCTCTTCCACTCTCTCTCGCTCTCTCTCACACACACCCCCACACACACCCCTAGGCCTGGGTTCAATTCCCAGTACTGTAAAAACAAAACCAAATTAATGTAATATCAAATTAATGTTATATATCTCCTTACATATACATTTTAAACTATTTGAAATGGCCATGTTCAAGATCATTCGACAAACTAAAAGAATTTTTAAAATGTTGTAATTATCCTAAATATTAAAATTTACTACATGAGCAAGTGTCTCCTACTTACTTTCACTAATCAAGAAATGATCATCTTCTTCAATAGTTTAAAAATAGTAATCATTTTAAAATTTATTTAGGTAAAATTTTTAAATTTGTTCCATTGGTTTTATTAAAAGCAGTCAACACGAGGCTGGAGAGATGCCTCAGCTAAGTACATCTGCTGCTTTTCTAAGGACCTGAGTTTGGGTCCCAAAACACACCAGGCAGTGCCCAGCACCCTGTAACTCCAGCTCCGTGGCTCTGACACCCTCTTCTGGCTTCTAGGGCACTGCTTCAGGAAATAATGACATTCATTCTACTAATAAACGGTGTATTCTGTGAGTTTGACGGTCCCGATTCATAAAAATTATTAATAGCTATACTCTAGTAAGTTAAAAAAAATGTGAGGAGCTGGAGAGATAGTTCAGTGGTTAACAGCACTGGCTCTTCTTCCAGAGGACCCAGGTTCATTCTCAGCACCCACATGTCAGTTCACAACTGTCTGTAAACCCTGTACGAAAGGATCTGACACCCTCACAGAGATGTACATGCAGGCGAAACACCAATGCAAGAAAATAAGTAAATAGATGAATGAATGAATGAATGAATGAATGAATGAATGAATGAACGAACGAACGAACGTGGCTGGGTACGGTGATGCACGTGTACAATCCCAGCACTCTGGAATGGAGGCAGAAGGACGTGATTTCAGGGTCATCCTTGGCAGCGTGAGACCCCTTTTCAAGTACATGAACGAACAAACAAACCAACCAAAAACCTCCAACCAAACAAACAAAAATATTGGGGCCAGTGAGACGGCTCAGTGCTAAGAGCTCACACTGCCCTTGCAGAGGCCCGGAGTTCAGTTCCCAGCATCCACAGCAGAGGCTCTGCAGTTTTGAGGCTCCACCGCCCTCTTCTGGCCGCTATGCGTATGCACACATGTGCAGCATGTACACTCAGAGACAAACACTGGCACAAAATAAAAGATTAAAAACAAATCTTAAAAACATTGATCCTCCCAAACAGTGACTATCAATCACACAGTGACCAGAAGTAGAGCAGTGTCACACTGCAACACTGTATAGCAATGATAAACACAGCACTTCATCTTCTGCCCAGCTTTCCCCTGCCCTGTCCTTACATGGCTCATGTGGTAAATACACACGCAGCACACCGTGCGCCAGATGGTCTAAAATGTCTTCCAATCGTTACTCGCATATTTGAAGTAAGAGTGTGAGGCATGTGTCATCACTGTGGGTCCGACCCAGTTCGGTTACAGGAAATTCTAGAATTGCGGCACCACCAACAGGAACTCTGCGGCCACAGCAGCCCACTCTTCCTCAGGAACATGCGCTGCTGTACCGAGCTCCCCTTTCCTGTGAAGTGCTGAGGAGAACCGACTCAGACCACAGCTGTGTAACCCAGCGAACGCACGGTTCGACCTTTATTAACCCCAGTTTTTCATCTTGAAAATGGACTACCTTGTACTGCACTGCTGGGGAAGCTTTACTGATAACCATCAAGTAAAGATGTCTGCCATAGCAGACTCCACCTGAGCTTGGGAAAACAGAAAGAGCAGCTTGCTGGTAACTTTAAGATTCTCAGTGTTTTCACATTTAATCTTGGCCAAAAGGCTGAGAAGAGATTTCTCACCCTCGTTTTTGTTTTGTTTTGTTTTTGTTTTACAAGAAAGTGTTTATCTGTAGCCTTGGCTGTCTTGGAACTGCTCTGTAAACCAGGCTGGCCTTGAACTCACAGAGATCCACCCACCTATCTTTGCCTCCCGAGTGCTGGGATTAAAGGCACGAGCCACAACTGCCCGGCTTTCTCACAGTGTTTTTAAGGTTAATTTCAACTGCTCATTAAAAACAAACTTTAATATGGGTTACTGAAACAATGCTGAGTATTGCCGTAAAAAACTGAACTTACCTTAAAACCACTGTGAGAATGTTGAGAATTCCTCATGTATTCATCAGCTGATACAAAATTTGTTTGTAAAATTAGGTCAATATTCTGGACTTTTTTTCTGTGAATTTATAATGATGGCAGCTAAAATGAGCCACACCTCAACCACTCTACAAACAAACACAACAGAGATAGAGAAAAAAGCCCCACAGGGAGGCTCCACCTTCAGGTTGGCACAGCAGCACCCACAAGCACCCAAGGTCCTCCTCCTCCTTCACTCTCAGACTTTCCCACTGGACAAACAGTGGAGACTTTAGTATACAACTTAAGCTCCTTGCCTCCACTACCTACAACTTGGACAAGTCCCTCACCTCTGTGCCTCAGTTTCCTCTATAGCATGACAGACTGAGCATGCTGGTTACTGTCTTACCTTTCTGTAAAGCATGCCTTACAAGAATGCAAACAATGGGCACGCATGCACGCAAACCTCGTCATCTCTGGAGAACTCTTCCAAGACAAAGTACACAGCTCCACCGAGGAAACCTCGATGCTTCCAATGTCAACCACCCTCATCTGCTTTTGTACACACTGAAGCAGCACTACTGCACGGCTCCCTCAACACAGTAGGATCTACACAACCTCCCACATCTTCGCGCCCCACGATCTTAGATACAGCCTTCTCTGCGCCGCAACTCAAAACACTCCCTACCCTTCATCCTCCTCGGCAACTCCCTTTAGCTTAGGTTCAGGCTTTTCTATAGAAGACCCCGACATCCTAAGCAGATTTAAGGCCAAATCCCCTGTGTCTCTCTCACTTTACAGCTGAGGTTTGTCTGTCTATCTTTGGAGTTCTTTCATCTAGAATATTAGCAACTTGAGATCAGACACTGTGTCTACCACTAGCTAATGAGCTGGCACACAGTAGATACTCTATAAATAGTAAGTGAATGAATATAAAGTCCAGCAGTTAATGTTTTTGTCTAGTTTACGGAATAGAAATTTTATAAATTATCTTTACGTAATTCTTCTTAATCCACCTACAGATAAAAGACATTAAAGACTTGATTTCTGTAATAGGCCTCACAGTACAGATAAGAGATCCGTCCAGAGGGTAAGCATTAGAACTATTCCTCAAACTCTAAGACCTATTTACAACTCCAGGGGACAGGCATTACCTACAATTGGAAAGCGGCCTGAGGCACCCTTCTGGCCGCTTTAGAACAAAGGTTCTAAAACTTGGGCTAGAAGATGGTTAAGAACATAGGCAGGGACCTGCCTGAAGACCGCGCGTGGCAGTTTGAAGAAAATGACCCCCAGAGCCACATCTGAATGCCCTGTGCCCTGCAGCAGAACTGTTAGGAAGGACTAGGAGGTGTGACTTTGCTGGAGGAGGTGTGCCACTTGGGCTCACCTGTCAATCAAGGTATGAGAAAACCCGAGCAGATTCAATGGTCTATACCTGCAAGCCCAGCACTCAGGAGGGGAGGAAAGAAGACCTCACTGAGGTTCAGCCTGCAACCAAAGCAAGAACAAGGCTAACCTGAGGTACACAGTCAGACCCTGTCTTGAAAAGTCAGTGGTCAGAGATATAGCTCGGTGATAGAACGCTTGTCTTACATGTGCAAGGCTAAGGGGTTTTATGATCCCTAGAAAACAAACACTTGACACACACACACACACACACACACACACACACACACACGGCGAGCGTTCTAGGGGTGAGGGAAGCACCCACACATGGAAAGAAAAAACAAAAGCCTCAGAGAACTGCACAGAGTAATTACTGTATTTTTAGATGAGTGGGCAGTAACCTTTCCACCTGATAGGTCTAATTGCCTGTCTCTTTCTATTTTCATTCTTGAAATGAATCACGAGTAGAGCATTTAATATAGATGAGAACAAAATAAACACTGTATTCAAAGATTTATCACTGGAGCCTAAATGAGAAAATGAGTTCATCACCATGTCTCAAGGTTTTGGATAAAAGAAATCCATGATTCTATCAGTGTGTTCAGTACTTGGGGAAGTGTTCAAAAAAAAAAAAAAAACGGATGCTGTGGTTTATTATCTTCATCATCTTGTGCATATACCTATAACCTACCAATCCTATTTTTCATGATGAAAAGGGAGCACAGTGAAAAGTTTTGGGCTCTGTATATTTTCCTGTGCTAACATGACGGTGTAAGGCCACACTATGAAGAGTGCTAAGCATGTGACTGTGCCTTGTGAGAAACAGGCAAATAAGAGACGCAAACGGGCCAGACCCAAATCAAGACCACACAACAACAAGCAACAAGGCCAGTTAAGAAGCCAGGCCAGGAGACAAAAGTTTGACACCTAATTCTGCCACTAAGATTCAAGCCTTCTCTTTAGAACCAATATTTCTTCTCAGTTAAAAAAAAAAAAAAAAAAAAAGCAGTTATTAAGAGAGGTACTAAAAAAAGCAAGTATAACAATGTTTGTAAACCATGTATCTATGAATAAAAGAACAGGCAAGAAATTTTATAAATTTCATTATTTCAAAGCCAGATGAAGGCTTCCCTAGCTAAGCATAATTCTGTTTCACAGACCCCAACTTTAACTCCTCCAGCAATCAAAATTGTCTATGCTATTAGAGGGTGTGTGTGTGTGTGTGTGTGTTGGAAGTCTCAATGGCAGGTATTCATTCTTGTATAAATCGTATTATTCACAGTCGAGAGGCAGGATCTGCGCCCCTCTGCTCCCTGGTGTCTTCCTGGCCACTATTCCTCTGCCTGCTGGACACCCTCACTCTGCAGAGGCTTGCTCCGCTTAGCCATAACCTGCTGCTCCTGCTTGCTGGCAGATACCAGCCTAGTCAGTGCCCCTTGGCAAGGTCTGGTTCCTGGCTCAGGTTTCCTGAGCACCTCTGGTCCTGCCACCATTCCTGGAAGAAGGGCTTTCGATGTTCCCTTCTCTCTACCTCATATCCTTGAGTCCCATCACTCCACCTCTGCCTCTGCATGTGAGACAGGCCCCAGGAAGTTATCACCTTAACTGCTGTACTTTGAAATGGGTCACCAAGCACCTGGTTCAGACTGCGTAAGCCCCCACTTTCAGTGTGATTAATCAGAACTGTTTTTTGACTGTTCTGAGAATGCTTACCTACAGCAGCTTTCACCCAACTTCCAAGATCACTACTTCCTGTTTCTTCCAGGTCACTATTTCAATTATATTTGTGGAGTTATCTTTCACTTTTGTATTTGTCATATAAATAACAAAATCCCAACCCAAACTGACCCAACTTCCTCTGTTTGCTGCCAACTACCTTTGCAAGGTCCGACTGACTTTAATGAACCCTTCAAACTTAACTTTTCCCTAGTTATTCACCTTCTTCTCCAGTGAGTATTTCAGTGTTTCTACACAATTCTCAAACTTCATACTTTTACATAGTGTTACTTCCTCTGTAACAAGAAAAATAGACCCTTGAGCTGGGAACTTCCTGCTATCAAACAAAAACACCTAGGGCTACTGGGACTATTCTCCTCCCTTCCATCAATATATCTGCCTCTGCGTTCCCTAGTCATCTCTACTGCAGTGATGTGGGACACTCAAATTACTACAAGGGAGTAAGAGGCTCATCAGCAAACACATACAGGTGATCAAAATCTCTAAGCCTGTGCTCAGCAAATGCTTATTTCACAAAGGCCACTGTATCAGGTTGGGGATACAAAGGAAGAAAGAAATAGCGCATCCTTGAAGACCTTTGTCTGATGCAGATTTTGACCTCAAGCGGGGATGACCATGAGCAGAGACTAATCAAGAGCTCTCTACTGACACCAGGATGACTTTGCAGGTATGGCAAGTTCCAGGGATGCTAAGAATGAACCCTGAAAACAAGAGCAATTGTAGAGACTTTTGAAGGTCTCAGTGACAAACCTGGTACACCTACATGATGCAACTCACAAAGACAAGTTAAAGCTCTGGATCTGAACTAATGATGAAGGCCTGCCCGAATTTTGAGCAGGAGACAGCAAACACATATATTGGAAAAAATGTATTACAACACATTAATTTGGGTAGCTCACGCCTTTAACACAGGCTAAGGCAATTTAGCCTGAGTCCAAGGCCAGCCTGGGCCACTGTAAGAACACAATTTCACAAAAACCAAACCCATCCCAGATTCATCTTATGAATTTGGGAGGTAAAATTATCAATATATTTTTGGTAATGGAGATCAAATAGGGAAGGAAGAACAATGTTAAGAGGGTCTGTTACGATTTAAACATGAAAGCCCACCACCACTACCAAAAAGCCCCCATGTTTGAAATCTCGGTCTCCATCTAGTGGAGCCATTTCAGAAGACTGTGAAAGAGGTAAGGTGTAACTGAGTAACTGGGGTGCTCTATGTCACCTCTGGCTTCCTGCTGTGCTATCTCCAACTGCCTCTTTCTCCTGCCACAGTGCCTTCCATAGTATGACAGACTACACACCTTAAACCCCAAGCCAACAAAAATGTCTCCCTTAAGTTGCTTCTGTTGGGTATTTTGGTCATAAAGACAAAAGTAAGTAATCCAGAGACTTTAGGTTTTGTGCAGAATCCGACTCTCACTTGCCACCAATCCCATCACTCAACTCTACCTCACCATCCTCTGCCAAACTGCCTTCTTCCAGTTCTGGTCATGTTTTTTTGCAAAAGGCTTTTGTGTGTGCTATTCTCTTTGCCTGAGACATGCTTCCTCACCTTTTCATCTGGTTAACTCATCTTCATTTCTTTCGAGCATGGCTCAGATGCCATGTTCTCAAACCAGGCTTCTTTAATCCCCCAGACCAACATCTATTCTCAACTAAACCCTCAATCCTAAAACTCAAGCTGCCTAAGGTTTGTAATTTGTTAGAAATATGTGTGAGTGTGTATGTGTAGACGCGTGTTCGTGCATCATTAGGTCGGATATGACTGTTGCTGCTGGAAGTCATTGAAACGTTTTACCACAATGTACCCTTCAACGAATTCCTCCTATGTTATTCCAGAAGCAGCCACAGTGCTACAGGCTTCAATTCCATAGCACTCAACACAATTCTGATTTAACTCCTCTTTGTGGAATCTGCCAAGTGTCCGCCTCCTCCATTTTATACCATCAGCTCGAAGACATGAGCTGCTCTACCGCCCCTGAGATAGAGTGCACTGTCAAATGCCTCTCGAGTGGAGCCTACAAATTATTTAAAGTGCCTTACCTTTTAAATCTTCCATCAACTCAAACAGTCCAGGGTAGTTAACTTGAATTTCATCAGTGTCCTATTTTTAAAAGAAAAAGGTAATCGTCATATGACAATCACGAACAAGTAAAAATCAAGTTTGGAAGGGAGGGGCTGGAGAGATGGCTCAGTGGTTAACAGCACTGTCTGTTCTTCCAAAGGACCCAGGTTCAGTTCCTAGCACCCATATGGCAGCTCACAACTGTCTATACCTCAATTCTAAGGGCTCTGATACCTTCACACTAATGCACATAAAATAAAATTAAATAAATTATTAAAAAAAATAACAAGTTTGGAAGGGAGCTATAACTATTTTCCAGAACACTCTGTCATGGATAGGGAGGAAATTTCCTCTATCAGAGCCTTACTAGTCATAGGCATGTGCTCACCCCAAGAACTGTCTTGTTTTTTATATTCTTCACAAACGTTATCTTCTAGAAGTCTAACAACAGTTACTACGTACCAAAATGTAGTAAAATAGAATAAAACTGCTGTGATGGCTAATTTTGTCTGTCTGTCTGTCCATCTATCCATCCATCCATTTATTTATTTGAGACAGGGTCTTACTATGTAGCCTAGACTACTCTTGAATTCACTATGTAGATCAAGCTGGCCTCAAACTCGATGATCTGCCTACCTTTGCTAAGATTAAGGCCTTTGCCTGCATTCGTGGCTTCTTCTTGTTTTTGTAAAATATTTCCCCAAAGGAGTGTACCATTCTTGGTATTACAAGACCAAGTAAGGCATGGAGTGGGCAGAGCAAGCTGCTATTCCATCTCCCAACTCTGAATATCCACTTAACACACTGAACTCAGATATAGAACACAGCAGATACTAGCCTGGAAAGAAAAGACACTGTTTCTAACTGTCACGCCAACAGCATGGAGAACTACCTGGAAAGAGTCTCAGTGAGGGGCTGTCTGCATCAGGTGTGCCTGTGGGGGCTGTCTTGTGGGAAGACCTGGACCACTGGACAGCACTACTCCCTGGGAGTCGGGTCTTGGATTGAAGAAGAGGGGGAAAAGTGAACTGAGTAATAAGCATACATGCATTTACTCTCACTCTGCATGACTTTGTTGCTTCAAGTTCCTACCTGGGTAGAGGGATGAAGTATCAGGTGTCAGGAGGAGACTTCTTTCTACTTCATACCCATCACTCTCCCTATATATCCATTTCATTATTCCTTTCTGTTATTTTAAGTATGCATGGGTCAGGTCTGTGTGTACGTGTATGTGAGAGAGAGACAGACAGACAGACAGAAACAGAGAGAGAGGTCATATTTGTTACTGGACTGGGAATTGAACTCAAGAGCCTCACATAGGCTAAGCAAGGGTTCTACCTCGAAGCTGTATTTCCAGTCTGTGTGTCTTCTTAATAAAACTGTTTTTGTGAGTAATGGATATTAAAATAGTGATGATGGCCATTTAATCTTTGCACTTTTTTACATTAACAAACTATTAAAGTGATCCTTACTCAGACACAGTAGTTCAGGTTTAGAATCCATAAATCTGTGAGCAATAGCAAGTTTACAATTTCGAGGTATATTTGAACTACAGCAAGAGTTCAGCCCAGCTTACAGTGAAGGAGACCCTCCCTCGAAATGAAAAGAAAATAATGAAGGGCAGAGTAGCTCGCTACTAATGCCAGAACTCAAGAGAAAGGCAGGTGGATCTCTGAGTTCAAGGACTGGTCTACACAGTGAGCTCCAGAACAGCCGGAATCACAGACTAGAGACCCTCTCTCTCTCTCTCTCTCTCTCTCTCTCACACACACACACACACACACACTCACACACACGGTGAGGAGGGTAGGGGTGTCATCATATGTAGCCCTGATTGAGCTAAAATCCACAGAGATGCACTTGTCCATGCCTTCTTAGTTCTGGAGTAAAGGCGTGTACTGCCACACACTGCCAAATTTGGGCTTTAAGGACCCGACATACCACAGACATCTAAACCACACAGCCTACCTTACAGCTACGGAAACCCATGCGTGCTTCATACGATCCAACTCTCCCTTGGTAAGTGAGGCTAAAATAACAACTTTCTCCTAGTGGTCACCTCTGCAGTTCCCCAAGTTATGACTGAGCTATGTGAACCCTCCAGTTACTCTTCGCTATCAGCACGAGAACACATCACCCTCTCCATGTCACCCTTCCCAGACCCCATCTACAAACTCTGCAGGCTGCACGTTCCCATAACTCTCTTTTCACCCCAGTTACAGGCTTGTAACAACAATGTGGCAGGTAATTCTGGAAATGAGTGGACTTACAATGGTTATCATTACCATACTGTACATAAAGGAATATTAAAATTAAAGCTTTAAACTAGTGGTTTCTTGTCAGTCACATGGATCTCAAGATCTGATGAAAATCACGGACACTTTTCTCTACAAAGCAACAACAACAAAAACAAATAGTCTTGTACACGGGTTCCAGTGTCACTGGACACTCTAAATTCTGTGAGGACTACAGAACTGAAGAACACTATACAGGAATTCACTCTGTTGACTGCTCTACCCAAAGTACCTAGAACAGTGCCACAGCACAGAACTCATCAATAAATGTTTGTTGCAAGACTGAATAAATGACATAGAACAGAAAGATATTTATTGTAGCACTGTTTCTAGTAGCAAAACAAACAAACAAACAAACAAAAAAACTGGAACATAAATGTTCAGAGAGTACACATTAAATGAAACCAGGACATATTCATATTAGTGAATACAACATAGACACTATGATGGAAGGCAATTATCTGCTTTCTTTATCAAGGAATTCCAGTCACTTCTAATTATGTTCAGGTATGTTTTATATCTGAAGTGTTTTGAAATCAAAGTAAGTTTATTCAACTCATCTGAGGAGGGTAATGAGTCCTGTAGCGGAATTGTGGTTGCAGAGAGGAAGAAGAGAGAGGGTTCTTGTAGAAATTTATCCTTGGAAAAGGAGCAGGACGGGGAAAGAGAAAAAGCAGGTATTTCCAACAACAGTCAAGCCACCCGAGATAAAACGCATTTATATATTTTTTTAAGAGTTGCCGAGAGAACTTAATCACCTCTCCTAAATTCCCTTAAGTAACAGAGACAAGGTAAGGGTTCAAGCCATCATTGAAGCCAGGTGTGTATGCCATAATCAAAGCACACTGCAGGGGAAGGCAGAGGAACAGATGAAAGCCACAGTCACTTCCCTAGCAGCCTAAGGTAGGTGAGGCCCAGACCTGAAAACACATTCCCAAAAAAGGGACTTGTAACCAGTGCTGTACCATATCAGTCTACACAAAATCTATGTTTTCTACACTTACTGCTTACAGATCCTCTGTATAAAACTCTCTATCCCGACTGAAATACATGTTCTACCTTGACTAAGCCTAGACGTAGAGAATGTTGTCATTTGTGTCTGCCTGAACTGAGAGGGCCAGTAACACAGATGCCATTATATAGGTACACCTCTTTTCACATCTGTAGTGGTTTATCCCAAATTACGCCTATCTTGGATTTGGAGATTCTGATGGTATAGGATTTTTAAAAAGTCTTCCTCAAATGGGCTGGCAAGATGGCTCAGCAGGTAAAGGCACTGAGTTCAGTCCCTGAAGCCCACACAGAAGGAGAGAACTGACTCCTCAATGCTGTCCTCGGACCGCTACACACAGACCATGGCACACCTTCCTCCCTCATAAATTACAGAATTCAAAGAGATGTCTCTTCATAAACTTTGGAACATTTTCTTGGAGTGACTTATCCTGGAATCTAAAAAGTTTATATTCCTGACCTGTCAGTCAGTTGTGTTAATGCACACTAAAGATAATAAGGCCCCTCCCCCAAGAAAAAGAAGGGAAAAAAAGAGAGGAAAATCACACCAAATATTCCAGAATACCATCAACATATGCTGTTTCATACCTGTAAATTTTTAGAAGTTGTTTTGTTTTTTTTTTTTTTAAACAATGCAATTAGTAGGTTCCTTGATTCTCCTGATACTCACCACAGTCAGCGTATTGAAGCCAGCTCTTCCAAGCAGATGTCCTAGGTCACTGACAGCAGTGAAAGGAGAGACATGTGGGGAAAATCCTCCCTCCCTTTCTGTTTCTGCTAACTGTAATGAACACCGGAGTTCATAGAGCGTGTCGCCTCCAAACATTGCGCCAACAAACACCCCATCTGGTTTTAAGACATAATGAATCTGCAATAAATATAACAAAACTATTCAAATTTTACAAACAGAAACATCGAAAGATAAATGTTTCCAAGTCAATGTTTTAGACTACCAATCTCACTTTGCCAAATTAACCAGAAAGTAAACAGTGTTAAGACAAGACATCCTACAATCACTGCTGCATGCTGTCCAACACATGAGTTTATTCCTACTCCCAGAATCTGCTGGACTTGTGACTTCTTTTGGCTAAAGAAATGCAGTATAAGTGGCAGCTCACGAAGTTTCAGCCTGGGTCAGGCCAGTTCTCACACAGTCCTACCTGCTTCCTTCCAGTTGCTCCAGGAGCTCCATCCCCACTCCTTGGCCACACCATCATCTCCCTACCATTCACTGACAAAGACCAACCTACAAGAACTTATCTCAGGCTTGATGAGAGGAACACAGAGGGCAAACACAAACACACACAAGTTCCTTCCCAGGACAGGCTCACAAGCAACAGAGAAGGAATTGATAGAGAGTGTGCTTTGTGATGTCAATTTGTTTACCCAGTAATGAAATCTTTCAAAAACATATTAGAAGCATCTCTGTGATCACTATTAAAGTTCTCAAGGACTGTCATTCAATGTAATGTCAAAGAATACCAATGCTATAAATACTCAGTTTCACTCCATTCTCTATCAGCTATGAACAATGAAAAGAGAAAGATTTGCTGATCTGAGGTAATAAACTATCAAAGAACAGAAGCGACATAAGTTTTCTCACCTGCTCAAGTGCTCTCGGAAGGTCATTCACCCAGTGCAAACTAAAATAGAAACACATATTTGCTCAACCTTACTTAGTATAATTATCACTATAACAAACCACAAAAAAGTATGAAACTTTGAAGTCTGAAATTATATTGCTTTCTATACTTCCATATCTCTGATCTTTTTTATTGTCTCCATACTTTTGCCTTTTTTAGAATGACAGAGCTGGAACCAGCAAACACTATTTTTTTTAACAATCTTTTATTTGCTAATGTGTCTTAAGTTTCCTATATTCTTTTCATGTTTTGATGGCTCATTTCTTTTCTGTGTATGTAATTCCATTGTCAAGATGTACCACAATTCATCCATTTAGTACAGAAAGACATCTGTGCTGGATAGTTTTATGTCAACTTGACACAAGCTAAAATCATCAGAGAGGAGGAAAGCAATTAAGAAAATGGCTTTGTAAGATCGAGCTGTAGGCAAGCTTGTAGGGCATTTTTAAATTAATGATCAATGCGGGAGGCCCCAGGCCACAGTGGATGGTGCCATCCTTCAGTTCTGTAAGAAAGCAGGGCTGAGTGGCACCCCTCCATGACTTGCCCATCCACTCCTGGCTCTGGATCCTGCCTGACTTCCTGCCCTCACAGCTTCTGAGTGAAAGAACAACCCCCCCACACACACACACCAAGTTGCTTTGGTCATAGTTTTTCATCACAGCTACAGTAACCCTAAGACAATATCCTAGTTGCTTTGAAGTTTTAGCAATTATGAACACAGCTGCATGGTTATGTGCACTTGCTGTTCTTGCCGAAAACTGAGTTCAGTGTTCAGCATCCAAATGGCGGCTCACTACCACCTGTAACTCCAGTTCTAGGGCTCCTACATCAAATTCTGGCCTCCTCGGCCATCAGACATGCAAATAACATACACACAAGCAAAATACTCACATACATAAAAAAAAAAAAAAGTCTAAAATATTCTTTGAAAGAGTAACTTATTATTCATGTGCATGTTTTCGCATGGTTTTTAAGTTTGCCTGTACCATTTTGCATTCCCACCAGCAATGAGCAAGAGTGCCTGCTGCTCTACACCTGGCCAGAATCGGTGCTGTCAGTGTTTGGATTCTGTCTGTTCTAATAGGCAGACAGGACATCCAACATCTCTTAAAGTGGTGGAAAACAAAACAACAAAGCTTTCTAAACTTATGCATAATAAACCTATTAGATCTTGTGTTTTCTGCTGATCCTGTTTATTCTTTCATGTAAGAGCTTTAGCAAACTGTAGAAACTTGGAAATAAAAAGACACGACACTACATCTTATTTCTAGTAGGGTGTTCTGAATTTATAATCATTAAACAGAAGAATCTTACAATTTATAAACTAAGATAACCAGTTTGTAACTAAAAAGAATATACACTATCACACTGAAGAACATAGCTCAGTGACAGAGTGCTTGTCTTTAACAGCCAAGACCTTGGTGTCTTTCCAGGACAGGCTGGGAAGGTATCACTCCACTACCCACTGCTGTGTGCATAAGTTAGCTTTGCTGAAAACCTCTACTCACACAGACGTTTGCACTAGTGCATGCTGCCTGTGTGCGTGCTGTGAAGACCAGAGGTTAGCCTCATGCATTGTTTCTCAGGTTCTGACCATGTTGTTTTTAAGTAGGGTCTCTTCTCTCACTGGTTGGAAGTAAACTTGAGCTTGTTGCTGACCGGGGAGCCCTAGGAATCTACCTGTCACTGCCTCTCTAGAGCTGGAATTACAAGCATGTGCACCAGGCCTGCCTTTGATGTGGGCTTTGTGAATCAAGCTTATGTCTTCACACTTCTGCAGCAAGCCCTTACCCACCAGAGAATCTCCCCAGCCACTGTAACATACTTTTTAAAAGTACAAATAGGTTACTGACCTTAAGCTGCTAACCACCAGGTCAAACGTGTTTTCTTGGAAGGGAAGGAATTCTTCATCAGCTAATACATTCACAATAGGAATATCTGTTTCCAAGGAATTTCTCTAATGATAAAATAAAAGTTCAACATATTTAAATAATGTTTCAATTACCAGCACAGTCATCTTAAACATTGCTAATGTCATATTTACTTAGCAATTTTAATAAAAACACAAAACACAAAATGTGGCACACAAAAAGCATTCAAGAATCTTTGTTAACTTACACTTAGCTGCTTCAAAAATATATATCCACTCACACTAAAACAAATGTCAGGCAACTGAACATTATAATGCAACAAATGAAGCCACAAAGTACTGGATGTAAATATGGGTGAACACTTTCACACTCTTAAGATTTTTTAAAATTTATATAACATGACTAAAAAGTTAAAAACTATAAATGAAAAACTAATTTTAAAATTTCTAAAAAGCAATAAACAATGTAAATGCAAAGTGGGAAAATATTTATTATAATTTTTGAAGGGTTAATGTCTCTAAAATATAAACTTTTAACAATGACCTAGAAAAAATACACGCAAAAGTGCAAATCAATGAAGGTGACAGGATAGGCATGTCATATATTATTTTAAAAATTCAAAGTTGGGAAATAGCAGTGAGCGTCTGGAGAAGCGTCTCAGTAGTTGGGAGCGCTTGCTGCTCTTTGCAGAGCTGCTGGAAGGGCCCAAGAGCATCTGCAACTCCAGGGTCTAGGGATCGACGCCCTCTTCTCCCTCTTCTGATTTCCATAGGCACCGGACCTGCACATGGTGCGCACACAACCCGGCAAAACACTCACTCACGCAGAAAGACACTGATACAATCCAATAGTCAAGTTATCTACCCACAGCTATTTCACTGAACTAGCAATCAAAGAAAAAAAATTAAGGGGCATTATTGGATGTCGCTTATTGGATTAACAAAAACAAAGGCTGGGCCAGGGTTGCCCAAAGAAAAAAAGAAAAGAAAAAAGCACTTTAATGTAAAAGCTTCACTCATCTTTCCAGGGACAATCTGGAGATGCATTCTGAACATGAAACATTAATCAATTCTACCAAGTATTTACTCCCAGGAAAAAACAAATAAATCAAGCACACTTGGCTGCTTTTCATGATGCTAACAGCATGGGTGGCTACCGAGAAAGAAGAAGTGCAGCAGTCCTCTAGAAGCTGCTCAGGTAGATCAACCGTATGATGCTCACATACTGAAAGGCTGAGCGCTCATTTAAAACAAGGCGCACGCGCATAAGAAGTACTCAAACAGAACAGAATGACACTCCATAAAAACATGTTAATGTACTACTGTTCACATGAACCTGGCAATGGAGGCTGCCACATGTTTATAAAGGCAGGAGACTAAATGTCACCAACAGCTAACTGTCTCTGGGTAGTCAGATTAGGAATCTCTTTTCTTACTATATTCCCAGCACTACTTAAGTCTTCTTCATGTACATCTATTTATAATTACGCTTATATTACATTGTGAAAGAATAAAGAACTAAAAATTAAATCAGGAAGTCAGAAATAAACAGAATTAAAAAGACACCTACCAAAGCATGTTCTGCAATGTCTGTTTGGAAGATCTTTCCCACTGTCTCCTGCAATGGGATTATTACAGCATATCAGATAATGCAAAAACATTTATCGCTGCAGTAACAAAGCCCAACAATTACTGAAATTTCCAAAGAAAGAAAGCATACAGTAATTTTTCAGTTTTGTAATATTTTCTGACCAATTCCGGTATGATACACACGTTTCTTTAGAATACATAATAGCACAGATTTAAATACATGCAGCTAATTACGTTTAACATATATAGCAAAACAGAGAATATAGATGTGAACACCAACATTCTACAATACTCCAATACTTGAACTTTTCTTGGTTTAATATGCTGAAAGCTCGTCTCCATACTCCTGTGACAAAAAACTTGAAAACACACATAGTAAATAAGGGGCTTCATTTTACCTGTTTCAATGATCCTTTCTTCTTTCCTAGAGTAAAAGGGTCTGACATCTTACAGGCATATTTTTTATCTATTTTACTTGGGTTCTTACATCTACCACCCTTCTTCACCCCAAACCTCTCAAACCCCCCAAGACTAGGTTAGAAAGGAAAGAGGATGTAGACCTCTTTGACAAATCAGTCTGTCAGATATTCTGGGCCTCAAGGCCAAAGACTGGATGGCCCAAGATTACAGAGGAATCTTGGGTGGCTGACTATCCAGGCAGCCAGCAGTCTCTGTCATTTCAGTAGTTTTAGAAGCTGCTTGCTCCTGTTTACTCAGGTAATAGTTATCCTTCTAAGGTCTCTGAGAGAGTGTAAGACTCGATAGTTATAATCTTACAGTTTTCGTTATTAAGATTAAAGACATACAAGCTTAAGTTGTTTAGGATCTAAGGAAATGTTTTAGGGTCTAAAGAGATGTTTTTAGGTTGATTAATGAAAGTTATAAGAAAGTGATTTAGGTACAGAACTTTGGACTCACCAAGATAGGATAGTGGAATACTTTCTCCAACGTTGCCAAATACAAATGGACTGAACATTATGAATGTAATTCTTACCTGAAAGTTCTCATGATTGTCCTTATTGTGTATAGTTTATTAATGAAACAGTTTTTTGGACTAGAAGGGAGAAATGTTAGAATTCTGGTTTCTTTAAAAACCGAGTTCTGTGGGCATACTGTTTTAATCCCAGGTGTGAGAAATGGGCGACTTCAGATTGCCCACAGCAGCTGACTATAATGTGCCTCGTGCTCTGGCAGGGGTGATTTGTGCCAGGTGCAGATGGTTTCATTCTGGGAACTCTAGAGGGTATAAACCGGAGGGCCCCAGTGGGGCTCTGGCAGCTGCTGCTTCCTGCTTCTGTGTTGTTGGAGTGCTAGAGTGCTGAATATTCTGACAGATTAGACTTGCTCCTAGGAACCGAAAAGTCTGATCAGCAGTAATTAGTTTAAAGAGATCTATGTCACCTTCCCTCTTCAACCTTCTTTCTCGACTACCTAGTGTTGAGGGGTTGGAAGGAATTGGCGTGGAGAAGGCTAGCAGATATAAGAACTCAAATAAAATAGATTAAAAAAAATACACCTACAGAGCTGGGCCTGGTGGCAAACGCCTTTGATCCCAGTACTAAGGAAGGCAGAGGCAGGCGGATCACTGTAACTTCAAGGCTAGCCTGGTCTACAAAGCAAGTCCAGGAAAGCCAAAGCTAAACAAGAAACCCTGTCTTGAAAAAAACAAAACAACAACAAAAACCCTGCCTACAACGTCTGTTTCACATTAAAATTTCCCATGTTGCTCTTTTCCCCAGAACCATGCTCTGGCCATCATTACCTCCTCCAATATTTAATGCACGTTTTCTGGGTTCTTTCTCTCACCCAGCAACAGGAATCCTTTTTGGGTCGGCCTGACCAGTCTATCTCTTCATCCACAACACTACTGAGGTCTTCAGGAAACCTCCTCAGTGAGTCCGCTGTGGCTTCCCTTTTCTGTTAGAGAAAGTGCTACCTTCCAGTTCATTCACACTCACTGTTCTCTGCTCACAGCTTAGTAAGCGCAGAGAAGTAACAATACTTTGCTAGGCAGGGGAGGGCAGGACAAAAGGCTGTTTGTTGATCTCCTTGGTGCAGCCTCTCCAACGTGATAGACTTCACGCTACTAACACAATGCTGCTTGATGCAGGCTTGGTAAGGAAGGGGCAGAGCTGGCTCTCGGACACCAGCTCCAGGACACCACTATGGAGCAAAGAGTTAGGCTAATCAATATGATTATCTATCTGTCTCTCACTTGAGAATCTGAACTAAAAGATGTAAAGACAGGGCAAAGATCTCTGAACTACAAAGCTCATACACTGAAGGTTAAAGAGAGGTATGCTATTGGCAGGGCACTATTTTGTAGCCCTTGACAATTTCCATGGTTTAACTATTTCTGCCATAGTTGGTTTCAAGTTATCAACAACGTGCCACTGAACAGAGCTGGGTAAGAGATAACAATGATCAATCATGAGCTGGAAAAAGCTTGTTAATTAAAAGTAACTTTTATTCACCTGAGTTAATTGTCATCTTGGAGGCTTACTGCCTCTGTCTGCTAACCTAGGCCTAGTCCTGGAAACTTCTAGCCTCCATACAATCTAATCCAGGCCTAGAATGTTTTCAGCCTCTGAGACTTACTGCTGAATAAGCTCATCCTTTCTACTCTGACTGGCTGGTTCAACTCAACTGCTCTGGTTCAAACTCCTCTCCAAACTGAGTCAATCTGGCTTCTTCTCTCAGATTCAGAGTGAAGTGCTCTGCTTGGCTTCAAACAAACTCTGGCAATCTGTCCTAATCTTCTGGCTTCTTCTCATTCTCTGGCTAGTCTTGTTTTCACCTGTGTCCAGCTCTTCAACCTCTTTCAGTAAAACTGCCTCTGAATTCCACAAACTGAACTACAACAAACTTTTAACTCCACTGCCCTGCCTCTCAACTCACTGACTGCCCAGAACTGATAGAACTCAGAGATCCGAATGCCTCCGTCTCCTGATGGGATTAAAGGCATGTTCTTATTCCAGACGGATCATACAAACTTAGAATGTCTTTGGATGTGATCTCTTGCCAGAGCAGGCATGTTCTAAGTTAAAATTCTCTATAGAGCACACATACTGGGGACACCTACATCAAGAATACTAGGGACAATGTGTAAGAAGAAAAAAAGGATAATGATAACATATAGCATCCATGTAGCCCCAGAAAGCATGTAAACAGGGGAGTACTTCATACTTTGGTTTTAATGTTCCAATACCTTGTAAGAGAAATGTCCTTCCAAATCTGAGCTGCAGAACCTCCAACAAACACCTCTGTATTTACATTGGATTTCCACTTGTTACTGGGCCAAAGACTCCGCTCAGCAGGAGAGCCCATGCTGGGCAAGTATTCCATCACTGTTATACCTTAATATTCGTACATTAATAATGTAAAGATTAGGCGTGGTGGCACACACCTGCAATTACAGCATTCAGGGAGGCATAGGCAGGCAGATCTCTGTGAGTTCAAGGCTGTTCTACAAAGCCAGGACAGCCAAGGCTACATAAAGAAAGCCTATCTCAAAAAACAAAACAAACAAGGCATGATTATTCATTGAGGGTAATAAACAAAAACAAGCAAGTCTGCCTCCCAATCCAGATCCAGAACTCTTCTTCTCCAGCACCGTGTCTGCCCATGTACCTCTATGCTTCCTGCCATGGTGATAATGGACTAAACCTCTGAACCTGTAAGCCAGCCCCAATTAAATGTTTTCCTTTATAAGAGTTGCTGTGGCCATGTTGTCACAGCAATAGAAACCATAACTAAGACATGTTTTGAATTAAAAAATGGGAAATAAAATGAGTACTATTAAATGTTATCTATATTTTATACAGTTTTTAATTAATAAAATTAGTATTTTTCTTAACTTTTTTTGTTTCACTAAGAATCAAATGCAGGGCTTCATATATGCTGCTATTCTGCCACTGAGCTATACCTCAGCTTTTGCTGTGAATTATCAAAACTGACCAAACAAAGTGAGAATAAAGAGAAAAATATATAGACTTAAAGAAATTATCAAGAGCATTGAATAAATGTTAAGCAATTTTAACAATCAAAATCTAAATATAATTTAAACTGAACAGGGAAGTTTTTTTCTAAAAATTAATTACGTTGGGAGATGAGGAGATGACTCAGTTATCTTGCCTTCAAAGCACTAGGCTCTGAGTTCAAATCTCTGAACCCACACTGGAAAAAAACAAAACAAAACAAAAACAAAAACAAAAACCTAGGCATGGAGGTGGAAAGACAGGCAGCTCCCAAGGCACCACTGGCCCTTCAGTGTAGACTACTTGGCAAACAGTAGACCTAGAAAACACCAAAAAATAAAAACCAAAACCCCACAAAGATGTATGGCACCTGCAGAAGGGCACGTGAGGACTCTGACTGAAGGACCCAGACAGCTACACCGCAGCAGCTGTGCTGCCATGACAGGCCCCATAAGATACTGGAGGGCTGAGTTTCTGTTTTCTGGTAATGTTCCCAGAGTTGCTCAGATCCTGTTTCTATTTCTCAGAACACGAAATAATAACTCAAAAAACTCCCAGAAAATCAGAAACAATAATCTAGTAGCCACACTGAAAAGTCCCCAAGCACTTGACCAATCAAAGGTTAGCTAGAAAAGCTTTTTCTAGCTGGACAAAATGATGTTGTTACCTGGGCATTTCTGTTAGCACCCATTGTTACCTGGCACACTGTGTGACCTGGACACTCCATGAAGTCCCCCAGATCCCCTAGGTCAGCACCAACCAATCAGATTATGACAAGCTTGTTTCTGCTAAATGTGAACCAATCATGTAACCACCAAGTTAAAAAAAACCCGTTCCTTGCTCCAACCATAATAAAAACCCAGCTTTGCAGCTGCTCAGGGCTCCTCCCCACTCCACTGCATTAGATGGCGGAGAACCCCAGCTGAAGCCCCAAATAAAGGCTCTTTGTTCTTGCACACGTGGTGGGCCTCCTGGTGGTCTCTGGGGTCTTTGCCATCTGGGCAAAACATTGACCTCTATGTGCACCAGCATACAAGTATACATGTATACATGTACATACACACACACACACACACACACACACACACTTAGTCAATTTTATTTTTCAAAATTGTTTAAGCTAGTATATAAAAAAATACCTTATTCAAATGTTGTGCTATGTAGCCTCTTCCACATCCCACATCCAGCGCAAGGGGAAAATCTCTGGAAGAAAAAAAAAGAGACAAAGAAGACAAGCTTTGCAATACAGTCCATAAAATAAGCAAGAGCTGATTTACTTAAGTAATAACATACAGAGAGTCTATGCAGGCCAATAACTAAGCACAGGCCCTGACACTGAACAATGAAGAACCAGCCTTGGGGTGGGGATGTAGCTCAGCAGTGCAGCACCTACCGAGCATATGTGAGACCCTGGGTTCAAGCAAAAAACAAAAAACAAACAAACAACAAAAAAACAACAAAAAAAAAACAACAAACAGGCTTAGATATGGATTTGAAGAACATACTAACGAAGACATCTGAATTCAATCACCCAAAGACTAAAAACAAGCTAAATGTACACTAACATGGAAAAACTGGGATACAGCTCAGTGGTAGCGCCTGCCTGGCACGCACATGGCCCCAGTTCAAGCTCCACATCCAAGGAAAACCCAAGGCACAACATGGCCCTCTAACCACGCCCTCTTAAAGATCCCGGTGCAGGAGAGGCAGAGGCAGAAGGATCTCTAGGACTTGCCAGCATAATCAGCAGGCTACAGGCAGTAGGAGATCCTGTCTCAGAATATACGGTGAAAAGCAACCAAGGAAGTTACCCAATGACAACCTCTGACCTCCACAAGCATAAGTATATATGCACACACACACACACACGTTCACGAATACAAACGAAAATTAATAAGACTGTACGACAAAATTATAAAATATCAATACATAGGCAGAAAACACTTGATTATGACGGAACAGTAAGTATTTCAGCTTTAGAATGAGAAAAACATGAGTTCGAATTTTGGACCTGTAAGTCACTAACATGTTACTGTGAGTGATCCAGCCTTGCTCCCTCATCTATAAAACGAGAGATGGCTCAGTGACAGAGAGCACCTGCTGCTTTTGCAGAAGCCCCAGAGTCAGTTCCCAACACCCATGCTGGCAGTCACAACTGCCTGCAACTCTCGCTCCTGGGGTTCTGAGGCTCTCCTCTAGCTTCCGTGGGTGCCCGCATGTGTACACTCAGGCACACACACACACACATAAAATAAAAACAACAAAGTTCTTTTTAGAAAACAGAAAGATTATCGCTCTACTACATATTTAGCACAGTACAGATGTTTAAGAAAACGAGCTGACTCATTTTAACAGAAGTAAGTGGGCCTGAGCTCTCACAAATTATATGAACATCTACGTAGTCTTTCAAGTTATTAAAGCAGAGCGCTGATAACACAAACTACTGTGTCTGCTTGCTTCTCCTTATGATACAAGGACGCGAAACAGAGCATGCACAAGCGGCTACAGATCCAGGCCTATTAGGTACACTAATAACAGAGAGAACATCAACACAAGGACATTTACTAATACTCTGAATAATTTAATTCCAAACATTTAATGTTTAAATTATCCTTTCACATGAGTCATTGTAGACTTGGCTTTAATATCCTCAGCACTGCAGCACTGAGCTTGTAAACTCCAAACTGAAAAGCAAAATTTATTGTTTCATTCATCAAATCACAAATAAACTATAATTTAGGCAAATGATAATAGTATCCTATCTTTTGTCTTTAAAATAATTCATGACAAAAATGAAACAAGGGGGCCTATTTGCAATTCGGAGGTATTTTTTACCTATAAAATTAAAATAATCCTTTTGATTTATAAAGATATATCTAAAATATTGCTCAAGAGTCTGATTTTATGAAACCTTCCCCACTTTTAACAAATACGATAAATTCATCTCATGTTGGTACAATTCAACAAATGTCACTTAAACAAGTCAACAAAAGGAGCAATTCACTAATGCCCAGCGAGCAGTTCTAAGTTAAAGCCGCTATTTGGCTGCAGTCACTACACAACAGCAAGCTTGAATCAAGAAAGCTCTCATTATGCCCAAAACGACAATGTACCCATCAACATTCTTATCCTACTTCATCAAAGTGCTCTTTCTCAATTCATTCCCTATAAAATTGTCACAAAAATCTTTATTACTATTAACAATGCTTAAGATAAAATGGGCAAGGTCTCACCTATACTAACTGGGAAACAAATCTAGGTAGACTTTCTCCTTCACTCAAATGGCAAAAGGTTCTACTGTTCATTTTAGTAAAACCTAAACTTAGGTTTAATAAATCTTAAAATTTCCCATGTAGTCGATTTTCTAGTTCCACATTTTGAGCAATCTCTCCATTACTAAACTCACTCAGGCTTAAAGAAGGCTATAAGTTTTACATTCATACTTAAAAAAAAAAAAAAGCTAACAATGAAGAAAATGTCATTTGCTTTCCTAAACCAAAAAAAAAAAGGCTAGCCAGTGTGGTAGAACATACCTATAATCTCAGCATTGAGGAGGCTGAGGCAGGAGGAGTGCCATGAGTTGGAAGCCAACCTGGGCTATATAGTGAGACCATATCTTAAAAATCTAAATCACCAAATCGAGTAATAAATTTCTCATATTTAACTATCCCACATATAAAGCTCTCGTCATTTAATTTCAAGTCTCTGCTCAACAGCAGATTTTGTTCCTAATCAGGAGCGAAGGAGCATGTCTGGAGTCTCATATACCAAACAGGCTGAGGAAGGAGGGTTGTGTAAGACCAGTTCAAAGCAAAGCCTAGATGTTACAGCAAGACTGTTTTCATAAGGGGTGGGAATGGATGGGGGAGACACGGGCAGAGACACTAAGAGATAGAAAGACAAGAGGAGGGGAGTGAGGGAGAAAGAAAGAGACTGTATCTTACTATACCATCTCCTACCTGGCTATGTCATACACACGGTCTGCAATCCTACTTCCAACCTGAAAGATTTCAAGAGTCAGTGAGTTAAATACACATAGTATGTTTAACAGAGAAGTAACATTTTTCTCTAAGATTCTATTTATGTTTCGAATCAGCTAAGTACTTCTTTTTATCCCACTTTCTATTTTCCCACAACAACTTTCTTTATAAATACTGAATATGGACATAAGATATCCCTGGAAACAAAACAAAGCAAATTATTTTAGGGACAAATTTAGTGAAATCAAGATTAAACAATCTTCCAGGTGTGGCAGCCTGTGTCTACAGTCCTAACACTCATGAGGCTGAGGCAGGACACTGGTCTGCAATACACAGTGAGTTCCAAACCAGTATATGTTATAGTGACCCTTGTCACAAAAACCCAAGAAACGACATCTGCTGAGGCAGGTGGATCTCTGAATCCAAGGCCAGATTTATATACATTACACAAAGAACTCCAAGACGGCCAGGGCTAAAGTGAGCCTTGCCTCATAACAAACAAAACAAAACCCAGCCCTATGCACACACACTTGGCCTCTGTATTCTATGTGATACAAAACATAAATAAATAAAAAATAACATTGTGTTGGTTGTCACCTTGACACAAGCCCAGACATATCACTGAGAAAATGTCTTGGTAAGATTAGCCTATAGGCCAGTCTGTGGGGCATTTTCTTGATTACTGATTGACGGGGGAAGAACCAGCTCATTAGGGATGGTGCCATCCCTGGGGCAGGCGGCCCTGGATCGTGTGAGAAAGCAGGCTGCGCAAGCCGCGAGGACCAACCAGTACACAGCATATTCCTCTAGGGCTTTAGTTCCAGTTCCTGGCGCTGGGTTCCTGCCCTGGCTCCCTAAGTAACAAAGCAGAATGTGGAGTCCAAGATAAATAAACCCTTTTCCTCCAGAAGCTTTTGATCACAGTTTTATCACAACAACAGAAAACCCAACTGAAATAAATGCCAATTGATACATTAGTGTTCACAGACATTAGCATGAGATTATATTAAAGAACTATCAGATTATATTAAAAGTATCCACTTAACCAAAGATTATTATAAATCAGTACATAAATGATCAAATAGAAACTTAGAGCAAACTTCGTGTAACTCCTAAATGAATTAAGGGTTTTGTTGTTGTTGTTGTTGTTTTGTTGTCTAAGAAAGGATAACCCAGGCTGGCTTTGAACTCATACGACCTTCTAATCCCCCAGCTTCTGCCAACCATTCTCACCCAGTCGACATTAACAGTTTTTGTGTTTTTGTTTTTTTTTTTTTTAAGTAACCTTTGCAAATTAGTAAACACCAAGTCTGGGAAAGTATAGAGCGCAGCTCCCCAAAACAATGTAAAAGAAGTTGTAGGGTAAGTACCACCTTTCACTGGGCAAGCGTCCTCAGCAAAGTCTACTATTCCACACATTCTACCTAGCGTTTTATAAACATCCCAGAGCTGTCATGACTATCTGAAAGTTCATCATATAGTTTTTGTTTTGAGGGGGTGATGGACAAGGGATTACGTATGTCAGTCTTTCCCCTGAGCAGCCCACTTTGTATACCGCCCCAAATGGCAACACCTTTTGCTTACTTTAAAAATAATTCTCATATACTTCACTGAATATATTCTAGTTCTACACACGCACAAGGCTTCTGTCGGGTTGTAATCCAGGTGTTAATATTTAAAAATAATACCAAAACAGATAGTATATGAAAGAGTTTACTCGGAGGAAGGAACGCAGAAGAGAGGGCCTGAGTGAGCCATGAGGGCAGAGACACAAAGGGACAGAGATGGGGGGGGGCAGAGAAAGAGAGAGCAGAGAGGAAGACTGTGAGCGGCGACCAATGATGACATCACAGGTGCCTAAGGAAGCTGGGAATGGGCTAGTGCATCAAGATTTGTGAACTAACACCAGGTGCTTTTTATGAACAGAAAGAAGATACACACTGAAGACTTCTACAGGTCCTTTCGGCCTCAGGAGTTTTGCACTTATATTTTCTTCTTCCCTCGTCCCATCTCCCACCTCAGCTCGACTAATTCCTCACACTCTTTGCCATAGCAGCCATTCTTAACAATCCCAGTCACCAATACCATTTCACTTTTTCTGCACCATATTTTAGCTGCAAACACAATACTTGCGCACGTGTGTCTCGCCGCCCCCTAAGCGCTATCCTGCAAAAGCAGGGATCTTGCTTTGCCCTGGAACTCAAGCAGTATTTGCTGGGTGAAAGAACGACTGCCAGGCACGGCCCAGAAGGGTGACGCTTCTTCTCAAGGTCACACGGCCCCGCAGTCTCACCTCCTCCCTCAGGTAGTCAAATTTCGTGGGCTCGGGCTGCCGGGCGGCCCAGTTCTTCTGCTTCCTCTTCAAATCTCTGTCGAAGATGTTTAGGGCTCCGGGCGAGGCGCCGCCCGAAGGAGGAGCGCCGGAAGCGACCTCCCTGCGACCGCCGCTCCGCGCTGGCCCCACAAGCCGCGAGCATTGGCGCCACGCAACGACCTGCCGCAGCATCTCCAGAACCCGCGCCGCGGCAGGACATGGTTTCCTTCGTGCGCGTGCGCCGCAGGGACTACGGCAATCACACGGATACAAAACTGTTCCCAGGCGGAAGGTTAACGTAGTTTGGCCTAGTTCGCGTGCCGTTGCGGTGAAGCGTCGCGGAGGATTGTGGGTGTGCGCTCCACGTGAACTCCGACCGGGATCCGAAGAGGAGGGAGCAGAGTGGGTCTCCGTCGGCGTCTCCTCTGATTTGTGAGTAGCGCGCCGGTCTTCGGTCCCTTGCTGGCCTCATGTGCCCTTCCGGGCCGCTTCTTGAGAGAGCGCAGCCGGAAGTGTGAGGTGGCCGAGCGTTCGGGCCGGCAAACCTGGCGCTCCCGGGCCAGAGGATGGGGACCGTGAGGGTGGGGAAAGCGCTGGAAGCGAGGCCGGTAGCGTTCGCTCCCCCGAACGACCCGCTTGTCGAGGCTTCGGCTTCCAGCCGTTGTAAGCGCTACCTCTGATGGTCGCGTGAGGCGGTATCTACGTCGAAACGTCGTTCCACGGTTGGGGGTGTGATCTGAAATGGGTGTGCGCCTCGTGGGAAGCTTTAGGCTTTCCTCGTTAGAGTAGAGCTTTGGAGTGTTCGAAACAGCACTGGCCCGAGTGGTGGCGGCGCCATCTGCAGCCCCACAAGTGTAGCAGGTAGCGCGAGACAGTTGGAATCTCGGCAGAAGAGAGGGGCACAATTCTCTCTTACTTGGTCGGTCGGCTTTAATGCTTACAGAGATATTCGACCTTTTGCAAAGTTTAAATTTAGAGAAACCAAACCATCAGAGACTGTTTACAAGGGAACAGTATGCATAACTTTTTTTGTACGTGTTTTCATGTGTTCATAGTGGATCAGCCTATCTAGAATAAAATATAAGAAAATGACATTTGGGACTGGGTAGATGGCACAGTGGTTAAGAGAATTGGCTTCTGCTCTTCCAGAGGTCCTGGGTTCAATTCCCAGCACCCACATGATGGTTGATTACGGTCCAGCCAGTTCTAAGGGACTGGAAGCCCTCTAAAGGCCTCCATGGACACCAGGCACCGAAGTGGCATGCATACATAACACCTATACACATAAAAATAGTTGTTAAGAAAGTGACAGCTGGGCGTCGCGGCGCACGTCTGTGATCCCAGCGCAGGAGGTAGAGGCAGAGGCCAGCCTGGTCTACAAAGTGAGTCCAGGACAGCCAGGGCTTCACAGAGAAACCCTGTCTCGAAAAAACAAAAGGAGGGGGCGGGGGAGAGACATTTGTTAACTGTAGTGAGGCTCCAGTTTGGTTCTTGATACATGGTAGAATTTACAGGAAGAACTCTGAGGTAAATCTGATTTGATCCACACATACCGCCATTAGTTAGGAGACAGTTTCATAGAACTAGAAGCTGTTGCGGATATGAAGTAATTATTAACAAAGAGAATGAAACAAAACTATGGGAAAAAAATGAGACCCACTGAGATTGCAGAATCTCAGTGTGTGTGTGTGTGTGTTGCATATGCAGTTGCTCACACTTGCCCACATGCCCATGCACACATGTGCTCATGTATTAGATGCTTGCATATGAAGCCAGAGTTTGAGGCAGGGTGGCTCCTCAGTTGCTCTTCACCTTATTTTTTAAGGCAGGATCTCTCATTGTAACCTGAAGCCTCTCAGGTAAGCCAGACTGGATGACCATTTTCTCTGCCTACCCTAGCTGCCCAGCGCTGGGATTCCAGATGTGCCGGGTTTTGGTGTGTGTTCTAGAGGAGCAAATCTGTCTTCTGCTGTGCAGCAAGCACATCAATGACTGAGCCTTCTTCCCAGCATTGCTCTTTGTTTTCTTGAAACAGAGTCTCACTATGTAGCCCAGACTGACCACCAATTCCCTATGTAACTATGTAAGTTCTGGCCTCAAACTCATAATAATCATGACTCCACCTTCACAGTCCTGATTTTACATATGTGTAGCTCCATCCACCAAGAGTAATCTTTTAATTGATGGCAAATACAAGCTAGAAATATAAAATTTCTGAGCACAACCAGTTACTAAACATTGCCCTTCACAATGCCAAGGAGTTCTGTTTGGTTTACCTTAAATTTATCTCAAGTGATCTGTAATGGAAGGATTATGGTTTTCTGTGTTTTTCTTTTTTATATTTAACCCAGAATAGGTTGGATAGCTGAAATTAAGTGTAAGTTGCTTTTATTTTATATACATTTAGAGTGTGTGTGCATACATGTATGCAGAGTGAACAAATATGTTTTTTACATTTTAATTGTATTATTAACTATTCATCATTGTAATATTCTTTTCTATAGTATTTAGTTTCTCTGGATATTTCTTCATTAAGACTTTTAAAATGTCATCCAAACAAGAAATAATGGAAGACCAACGGTTCAGGCGGGTTTCAAAGGATCCCAGATTTTGGGAAATGCCAGAAAAGGACCGAAAAGTCAAAATTGACAAGAGGTTTCGAGCCATGTTTCACGACAAGAAGTTTAAATTGAACTATGCTGTTGATAAAAGAGGGCGCCCTATCAGCCACAGCACCACCGAGGACCTGAAACGCTTCTATGACCTGTCAGACTCTGCTTCTGACCTCTCTGATGATGAGAGCGAAGTACTGAGCCAGAAGAAAGTAAAGCAGAAAAAAAGCCAGACTACAGAAGAAGTAAAGTTTGAAAAGAAGAAGAAAGAAACCAAGAAAACTGAACAAAAGGATCCTATAAATAAAAGTGACTTAGATAATTCTGAAAAAAAGAAAGTGAGAAACACATGTAAGTCCCAGAAGATAGATTCAGAAATAAGTCCCAAGAAGGATAGTGAAGAATTTCTACAAAGTACAAAAAAGAAAAGGAACACTGCCAACCTTAGTCCAGACACTTTGCCCAAAGGAAGAGTAAGGACCAAAGATTCCAGTACCTCTGAAATTGTGACATCTCCAACAATCAGTTCTAAGGCAAAAAGAAAAAAGCAGTCAGGTAGGTTGAGAGTACTGATTCTTTTATATTATACTATTTTACTGTCATCTTTTAAAAAGTAGGTAATTATTGGTAGTATGTTGAAAAGGATCAGATGTTTATTTTAAAATATAAAGCTCTGGAAGAAAATGATTCCCTGTTTTGGTATCAAAAGACGAACATGAACACTTGGGTGAACAACTGTGGTTTGTGGTGAGTAATGCTGAGAGCTGCTGTTATATAGGAAGAGATGTTTTTGAAGGTGAGTTGAGGTGGGTACTCACTCATTAATTCATTCAGCTACTGAGTGACAACTGCTGTAAGGCTAGTCCCCTCGCCTAGGGTTATTGCTCGCCTACAGGGTGCCTTTGCAACTGAGAAAGTGCATGTGCTCTGAACACACAGACATAGTGCTCTGGAGTTTATAGCTTGGAAAGAGGATGGCACTTTTTTTAAAGGTTTATTTATCGTTTATACAACATTCTGCCTGCACACCAAACCTTACTGTAGATGGTTATGAGCGGCCATGTGGTTGCTAGGAATTGAACTCAGGACTTTTGGAAGAACAACGAGTGTTGTTAACCTCTGAGCCATCTCTCCAGCTCCAAGGATGGCACTTTTAAGTGAAGCAACATAATGACTTCCCTTGAGCAAGCACACTGGCTGCAGAGTACATGACTAGAATGGAGTTTGATTTGGTTTCAGTTCTTCTTTCCCTTTTTGTAGATTTCGCAGATGACTTTAGTCAGACAACCACCTGCTGAACTTTGTGTGATGACCATGGTCTAGTGGTACTAGCAATACATAGTAATGGACTTTCTAGTAGTGGCTTTAAAAAGTAAAAATAAGCAGACTAAATAATTTGTAGCCAGATTTCATCTCTGTAATTAATGATAACAAATTTATATTTTTATATTCTATTTTATTTAGTATTAATCTCAAGTTGAAAGAGTCATATTTCAAGTGCTAATTGTCTCTTTTGACTGTTAACTACCATATTGGATGGCATAGATCTAAAGTAGAAAAAGTCACACCTGTAATATAAAATATTGTAACAGGAAGGGCCATAAATGAAATTGAAAATATTCAGAAGTGGTCACCCAAAATGTAATAAAAAATTCCTAAGGGATACATAATTTGTATTGGATTGGAAGGGGAGGGAGGATTAGGTTTGAGGACCAAAGAACTTTTTGAGCAAACTTAGGATTGGGTGTGTTTAGAAAGATCAGTAGTCCCACTCTGTTGGATGGTAAAGTCTTGAAGAGGTTTGCAGTTTTAAGCCGAATAATCTGCAAGGTCTTCCTTCTGCATCCTCGTGTGCTAAGAAGTTTGTGTAATGCCTGGACTGAGAAGATGAGTCACAAGGATCAGGAGTTCCAGGTCATCCTCAGCTGCATAGTGATCTCCAGGCCAGTATGAGACCCTGTTTTAAGTTTTAAAAGATGACTTAGCAGGTAAAGGTGCTTGCTGCTCGAGCCCTGCCGCCTGAGTTTGGTCCTTATCCATGCAAATGAGGAAGGAGAGAACCACCTTCACACATGCACTGTGGCATGAGTGCCTCCGCCCTGCCCCTTATACACAAATACATCATGCACAGACAGGCAAACAAAAAAAATTTAGGCTTTTTTTGCATATGTTATGCAAGTCAAAAAAGAGGGCATTGGATCCCCTGGAACTGGAGTTACAGGTGGTTGTAAACCACCATGTGGGTGTTGAGAATCAAACCCAGATCCTCCGCAGCAGTAACAAATGGTCATAACCACTAAGCCATCTTGCCAGCCTCTGTGTAGACAAGTTTTAATGTCTCAGTTTGATCCATTAAATCATAGCTTCATTAATCAATAATTTTTCTTTGTTTATGAGTTCATCAAAGGCATGAAATCTTATAAATTCCCTCTTTTGCTTTCCCTTAGTTCAATGTTTTACACATTGTAGGCAATAAGTATTAGATTAATGAATAGATATAAAAACAGGTTTAAAATAAAAACAAATTACATTCTTCATCTTAAATTTTAAAATTTACTTTTCATTCTCCAAACTAGAGTCTCTTGAGTAAACTGAAACAGGAATACAATCTTAAATATAGTGTATAGTTTATAAGATAATCCACACACAAGGAGGTGATTGCTTTTAGATGTAGTTCGGGTGTCCAGAGCTCATCTAAAACAAAGTCTTTTCATCAAATTAGCTCTTTTCCAGTGTTGCATGTTTACCTGTCTGGCCAGGTAGCTAGCTGTGTCTGTACGTCAGGAAACTGGGGCTCACAGACACTTCTAAACCTGCTGTTCCCCATACCAAATACTCATGTCACTGTACTTAATCCTACTGCCATCAGCTTTGTACTACTTTTCTATTATGTGAGAATACTGCACTGTCCCTCTGCTTTTAGCATCTTACCCATGCTACTGACATCCTTGCTGTGTGAATCTGATAGTGCCCTCTTTTTGGAAACAGAGCAGTGGCAGAGCCCATCCCCTCCATCACACTTCCTTGTTAGCTCCTCACATCTGTTTGTTACTTGACTCCTCTTGGTTACAGCATACATGTGGCTGCTGCTTTTCTATACTTCACAGGTCTTTCGCTTGGAAGAGATTACCTTCATGAGTTATCTCACTTTGATCACTTAACTCCTCTCCATCCTGTAGTCGGCTGCTGAGTAACCACACTCTTGGAAATCTAATGCTTTAGGGTCGTTTCATTATATGCATATTGATTTGATCGTTTATTCCATTATTGTCCCCTGTCCATTCAACTGCAAATTAATTGAAACCATTGACTCATTGATAACTTTTTGCCAACAATTGTGTATTAAACACCTAGCACAAAGTAGATATTACACACATATTAAATGAGTATATAAATGCACTTACATGTTATGATTTCACTTCAGTAACGATTTAGCATGGATTTTACTGAACTAATACTCCTTTTTCTGTTTTACAAAAGTTATATTTTCACTGGCTCTAATGCCAGTAATTTGGATTTGATTTAGTTCAGCATGCATATCTTCTTTCTCTCCCAATATGCTGTAGTGGTTCCAGGCATAATGGCAAAAGACAGTGATGGTACAATGCTTGACAAGAATGCCCTGCAAGAGGAGGCAGACAGTACTAGTGAAATGGGAAGTGATGAGGAATCTGAAGATGAAATCACAAGTGATGGTAGAACTTCAGCTGATGATGATGAAAATGAAGATGAGGAAGAAGAAGATGAAGATAGTGAGGAGGAGGAAGAGGATGAAAGTGACAGTGGTCCTGATCTTGCAAGGGGTAAAGGAAATATAGAAACTAGTTCTGAAGATGAAGATGATTTGGCGGATTTATTTCCAGAAGAACCTGGTTTTGAACATGCTTGGAGAGAATTAGATAAAGATGCTCCTCGAGCTGATGAGGTAACATTTGCAATAATATTGTTTGTGACTAACAGTACAGTTAGCTTTTATGGGTGAAGGCCTGCTGTCATTAAATAAGTAGGAAGGGACTGGAGGGCTAACGCCTCGCTGGAATTCTTGGCCGGCATATATAGGCTAGTGTGGGGCATAGGAGCACACACCTGTAGCATCACGTAGGAAGCAAGAAGATTGCTGTACGTTTAAGGTCAACCTGGAGCGCATAGTGAGTTCTAAGCCAACAAGGATTATAAACCTGCTCAGTAAAACAAGTCTCAGAAAAGAAAACTAAATAGGAAGAAAACATTAAAGATAAATTGAGAAAGGTTTATTGGTAAAATGTTTGTGAGTCTTATTTCTTGTCGATTGAACCCAGGCTATCTGCCAGGTAAGATCTCTACCAGTGAGTCATATTTCTAGACCCTGGCAGTATTCATGATTAAAAGATTAAAAGATCGAGGGGGTGGTGACACACGCTTTTAATCCCACCACTTGGGAGGTAGAAGCAGGCAGATCTCGGTGGGTTCAAAGCCAGCTTTGTCTATAAGTGACAGCCAGGGCTCTTGTTACGCAGAAAAACACTGTCGGGGAATTAAGACGTCCTGAGACCTGGAGATAAACTCAGTGATACAGCGTTGCTTAGCACATGCCCACCCCTAAGTTTAGTCCCAGCACTAGAAGGGTTCTGCTGCTGGAAATGGAGCCAGTGTATATCTAAGCTGATGAAATGGGAAAGAAGTCCTTTTCCTTTTCCTTTTTTCTTTTTTTTTGGGGGGGGGGGGTAAGAGAGGCGTCTCTTTTTTTAATTCTGTTTTTAAATTAATTATAAAGAGAGCATGTAAAATGTAATGTATTTGCTGTAGCATTTTTATACATAACATGCCAGTGTACTTTGTTCCTAACTCTGCCCTCTCCATCTTTCCTGCCCTGCTCTTGCGCATCCTTTTCCTCACCCCACGTGGTTCCTCCTGCTTTTGTATCACATGTATTCTTCATTCTCTTTTCCTCCACTCCCTTCAGATCTTTCCCTCCACTCTCAGACTCTTTCTAATTTCATGATGTATATACATCAGTTTATATCTGGATTTAGCAGGCTGGGGAGAGGCTTCAGTCCATAAAGTGCTTGCTGTGCAAACATAAGGACCTGAGTTTCAGTCAGAAAAAATTATTAGAATCCTTAAGGCTCATTGGCCAGCCAGTCTAACCAACTAGTGAGCTCCACTTTTAGTGAGAGACCTTGTCTTTAAAAAAATAACATGGAGCCAGGGGTAGTAGTACGCATTTGTATCCCCACAATTGGAAGGCAGAGGCAACAGCACCTCTGTGAGTTCACGGCCAGCCTGGTCCACATAGGGAGCTCCAGGACAGCTAGAGTTACATAGTGAGAAACCGTGTCTTTAAAAAGAAAAATAACGTTGAGAGATTGAGGAAGACACATCACTGTCAAACTCTTTGAGCTAGTTATGCAGTAACTTAGAAGTACACATATATACGGAAAATTTAAAAATTTTAAAACCCAGCACAAAAGAAAGCACGAAGTATTATGTCTTTTGAGGCTGCTATATCTCATTTAACACAGTTTCTAATACTCTAAGAGGAAGCTACAGCAAGCTGCTTTGCTAAACGGATATGCTGTACCTGCCGAGTTGCCTCCATGATATTAGGTTTATTCCCATAAATTAGTGCTGCTGTCAGCTTTATCAGAGAAACTTCTTTTTGCACTAAGCAGCACAACGACAAAGATTCAACTGGTCAAATGTTGAGAATAAGTGACTTGATTGCCCAGATATAAAGAGAACATTTCTCACACCTACACTAGCGCATACCTTCCTCTCCAAGTCTTGAAGAACATTCTAGGAGGCAGGATAGAAGGTCTAAGAGTTAGGTAGAGCCTTTAGAAACCTTTAAGTATCTGATCGTGTTGCTGAAGATGGGGATAGTTGGACTTCCTCCTTTCCTGTATATATCTCTTAAGTCAGTGGTTCTCAGCTTCTAGTGCTGCCACCCTTGAATACAGCTCCTCATGTTGTGGGGACCCCAACCATAACATTATGTCATTGCTACTTCAGAACTGTAATTTTGCTACTGTCGTGAGTTATAATGTCGATATCTGATATGCAGCCTCTGCAAAAGTGTCGCTCAGTCCCAAAGAGGTTGTGACCCACAGGTAGAGAACCACTGCCTCAAGTGCTGCTGTGCGTCAGAGCAGAGAAACTGACACCATTATCTTCCTGATTCTAGGTTTTTAGTACTTTCTTTCTCCAGTTCTGAAATCATCTATGTTACTTAACTGATTTAACATGTAAAGAGAGCTTCCCATGGGACAAACAATAGTAAAACCACAACAAATAAGCACTATCTCCAAACTATTTTTTGGAGTTTTTGAACCAGAGTGAGTCATACACTGATGTCTTAAACAAAAAAGTTTAAAGACAGTCTATCTCTGTGGAATGAGGAAATAGGTTATCCAAGAGCATTTCCTTACTGCGGAGTAAGAACATAAATACAAGCTCCAGGAGAAATAAGTATAAAACTTTAATGTATCGTAAATTACTTATGTAAAAATTCTGGCTGGGCATGACAGCTGAAATCCCAGTACTATAGAGGAAGAGGCAGGAGGATTACAGCAAGTTAAGGCCAGCCAAGTCTTCAAAGGTTCTATGACAAAGATAACGTAAATTCATGATCAAATCTCTAAAGAACTAGGAATAGAAGGAAGAATTCTCAACATAATAAAATCTATATACGACAAATGTGCACACAACATTGTACTAACTGGGGAAAAATTAAAAATGATACAGATCCCAGCATTTAGGAGGCAGAAGCAGGTGGATCTCTGTGAGTTGAAGGCCAGTCTGGTTTGCATATTTAATTCTAAGACAGCCCTAGAGCTAGCTATATAGTGAGACCCTGTTGAGAGAGAGAGAAAAAAAAAAATACAGTTTCTGCAATTTTCAATAATACTTTAACTTTCTCAGATTACACACCGACTAGCCGTTTGCAACATGGACTGGGATAGATTAAAGGCAAAAGATTTGCTGGCTCTGTTCAACTCATTTAAGCCCAAAGGAGGAGTTGTATTTTCTGTAAAGGTGAGAACGGATTTCATTTAAAGTAAATATTTCTAGGTGCTTTAACTTAAATCTTAGTTTCTAATTAAACTGACTTTAATTTTCCTCATATAAAAATAATTCATTAATCTAGAAAAATTGTCAAATATAATTGAATATGAAACTGGTGTAACAGGTATTAAAAGGGAGAAGCAAATTTTCTTCTTTGTGTTTTGGTTTTGTGTGTGTCATGGAAGTTAGAGGACCCCTTTCAAGACCCCTTTCATTTTCTTCCACCATGGATTCTGGAGATGGAATACAGGCTGTTGATGATGCTCTGGTTTTGTCCTGATCCCCATTGATTGTGCTCTGACCTAAATTACTTATTTTCAAGGAAATTCTTCAGGATGAATTCTCTTTGTATAGTTAGAAATTAGTTTGCATTCCTGCAGTAAGTTTGAAATGGTTGTTTAGTGAGCTGAGTCATGACTCTTGATGTCTTAGTTTTGATAGGGCTGCATGTTCTGTGAAAAAAATATGAATTATATCTGTCTTATTTTTGCATTCAGATCTATCCTTCGGAGTTTGGAAAGGAGAGGATGAAGGAAGAGCAAGTTCAAGGACCAGTAGAGTTACTGAGTATTCCTGAGGATGCCCCTGAAAAGGACTGGTACTAAGCATCTAGAATATAAAACTAACCCTAGTAAAGTCATGTCTTTAATTCAGAATCCATTACCGTAATAGGACTGAAGCTTGCACTCACATTAACACGTAGGGTTTGGACAGCTTGATCATCGATAATAGTTGGCGGCACATTATGCCAACAGATTTTTTTTATGTGCTGAGAAATAATGATTGCAGTATTTAAAAAAAAGAACAATTCATGATTGTCTTCATTGCTGTAAATTAATTTTGTTTTTATCTTCATAGTATATTTTTTCTTAACTGAGTGTTAAATAGAAAAATAAAGGAATAAAAGTGGTTTTATGTTATAGAAAAGAGCATAGGTACTTGTAAACCACTAGGTGGAGCTATATGTGCACTTATAAAAAGTGGTCATTCACTTGACGGTAACAAGTAGCCGAGAAAGACCTTTAAGGAGCTGATTATAGTTGAGTGAAATTAAGCTTATAAAGTTCAAATCCTAGGCCAGCGAGATGGTTGTCATCTGATTTGACAATCAAAGGACCTGAACTCAATCCCCAGCGCCCACGTGGTAGAAAGAGGAAACTAACTCTTGGGAAAGTTGTTTTCTGACCGCCATCTATACACCATGGCACACATGTGCTTACAGATACACAAACACACACTCACCACAAGTAGATAAATACAAAAATTGTTCATTCTGGAACAAACATTTTTCAGGATGCGGCATTAGAGTTAACTTCTCACGAGCATATTTTAAAGATTTATCTTTATTATTTTTAATTATTTCTGTGTATGTCTGCGTGTGGATTTGTGTACATAGTACAGCTGCCTCTTCAAGCCAGAGGGGATTGTGAGTCCTTCAGTCTGGGTCCAGGAACCAAACTACGGTCTTCTAAAGAGCAGTATGTGCCATCGACCACAGTGCTGTGTTTCCCTCCCAGTGAGAGTGTCTTAAAGACAGTGTCTTATCCAGAAGTTTGCCTGGGATATTTACGTGCGATCGCAAACTACATAAAAACAAACATGGTGAATGTAAAAAGTTAGGGTTATGCATAAGTACATGTAACCTGCACAGCGTTTTCACTTGCCACCTTAACTAGGCGTGGTGCTGCACGCTTTTAATCTCAGCACTTGGGAGGCAGAGGCAGGCAGAGCTCTGAGTTCAAGATCAGCCTGGTCTACAGAGTGAGTTCCAGGACAGCAAGGGTGGTTGTATAGAAAAACCCTGTCTTGAAGAAAAAATAAAACACAAAAAGCTACACCTTTTTAGAATAGTTAACTGAGCTTAAGTAGTCAGTGTTCATAGATATGAAATCAGTAGGGAAAAATGACTTGGAACAAGAGCCAGCTTAGAATTTTTTTGAATTGGTTATGTTTCATTGTTGCCACTATAGGAGTTGAAGGCAACCTTCTGTACATTTATCTTTTGATGGAGAGCTTTCTGTGTTCTTGTATACATTTGTTTGATTTAGTATCTCCCCATTAGGGCCTCTAGAGAGAAGCTTAGAGACTACCAGTTTAAACGGTTGAAGTACTACTATGCGGTAGTAGACTGCGATTCTCCGGAAACAGCAAGCAAGATTTATGACGATTGTGACGGCCTGGAGTTTGAGAGCAGTTGTTCTTTCATAGACTTAAGGTAATTCAGTTTCCATCGTAACACTGACTCTCAGGTTGCAGCAAGGGCATAAGCAGTAAAATATTTCAACGAGCAGTACTCTCTTGCATTCTAGAAAATTAACAAGAAAAAGCTAGTAATAACTGATGAAAAATAATTTATGAGCCATTTTCATTACTTAGAAATCATTCTTTGAAAAAACTTTTTTAAAGGTTTATTTATTTGTATGTGAGAGAGAGAGATCCCCTGGAATTGGACTTGTAGATGGTGGTGAACCACCAGATAGGTGCTAGGAATCAAACCTGGGTCCTGGGCATGAGCCAGCAGGTGCTCTTAACTGCTAAGCCATCTCTCTACCTCCCCTTCCAACAATTCTTGATAAAATATATAGTAGGTATTTTATATGTGTGGGGAAATAGTCTCCCATGCAAATTATAAAACCTGATTATAATAACCATAGGTTTATTTACCTTTACTTTTCATCCCATTTTTCCTGATGCCTAAAAATTGTCAGTCACCATGACTGATTTACATGGAAAGGTTAGTCATTTGTAAAATGGAATTTTTGTCTAAAACTAGTCTATTTTTTGTTTGTTTGTCTTTTGAGACAGGGTTTCTCTGTGTATCCTTGGCTGTCCTGGACTTGACTTTGTAGGCCAGGATGGCCTTGAACTCAGAGATCTGCCTGCCTCTGCCTCCCTGAGTGCGAAGATTAAAGCTCTGCACCACCATGCCCAGCTGGCTAAGACTATTCTTAATCAGCCTTAAACTTTTATTTATTTTCATCGAGCCTTCATGTTTGTGATACTCTGTACTGCAACTACTTATACAGTATTAATTCTGTTTGATTTTAGGGCTCTACAGTAAGCTAATAGCTTTTACTGCATCTGGGTTTTGTAAGCTGGCTTACATTAACTAGTTTCTAATGCAAACTCTGTCTATATAGAATTCTCTCAAATTTAATGAAATTTCAGATATACTTTATAAATTTTAGAAATGTTATGCCAAGGTTGTTTCTAGCCTTTTAGAATTTTTATTACGTTTGTATTGTATAGAAACTTGTATATAGTGTATAAACTATAATTAGCGAAAAAATGATCTCTGGTAATCACTACTTTTTAGGTTTGAATGTATTTTTCTTTTTGTGTTTCTAGGTTTATACCAGATGACATTACTTTTGATGATGAGCCCAAGGATGTGGCATCAGAAGTTGATCTAACAGCATATAAGCCAAAGTATTTCACATCTGCTGCAATGGGAACATCAACGGTATTTCTTAGCTCGGAAAATGTGTAGATGGGCCAAGCATGGTGGCACATGCCTATAATCCCAGCACCTGGGAAGTTGAGCAGGGTACGAGGAGCTCAGGGGCTATGAGGAGCTCAAGCATCACAGCCTGGGCTACATGAAAGCCAGTATTAAAAAAAGAAAAATTAAATGGGTGTTTAGACTCCTGCTTTTAGCAACACTAGAATTAGATAGTATTCTGACTGTTTGTGCATTGGATACTGTACTGTTTGCACATGTTTTTCAGAGTGTCCTCTTGTCTTTAAGCCTCAGTCAGTCTGCTAATGTTTTGTTTTGTTTTTCCTCTACTATTTTACCCACTGTTAGCTAGATTCTTTGGGCCTGAGGTTGTATTTCAGTGTTAACACTCGTCCAGCATGTGTGGAGGTCCTGCGTTTTATCTTAGTTCTTTGATCAGGCAGTGTGTTAGCTATTAAGATTCTAAGGAATAAAAGAAGGACGTAGCTTTACCTCAAATGTTAGCTACACAAAACTATTGACCATTTGAAATAGGACATTTACTGCAGATGTGATTTTTAAAAGTTTTGTCAACAAAGAAGTAGAATAATTCAGGACAACTATAGTTTTCATATTGATAACAAGAAGCCAGATTACTGTGTGTTGCAAAAGTTTGTTACTTAGCTAGATGACTACTTCTTCTCTCATCTTAAGTCTTTGCCTGCAGCAGTACCCTACAGCACCACATTGGCTTCACTGCCTTTCCTGTGCCACAGAGCAAGCCACTGTCCCTGTTCCATGCTGGGCTGTGGTAGGGTGTCCTGGGATTGGTTAGTGACAAAGGATGGCAAGACACCAGAGTAAATGAGTTCTGAAAGATCCAGCCACGTTATGTTGTTTTCAGTCCTTCAGTACTTAAAGTTGGCAGCATGTCTAGCAGCCAGTGTACAGCCTGTGTGTATCGACAGGACCTGCTCCACTTATGGCAACCATTTGGTCATTATCAGAGTAGGGTAACTGAATCCTGACTGAAGCGACTAAGAGAGTGGCAAGGAGTTTTTAGGATCTGGTGGTTAATTGGTGCTTATCTTGTCCTAATACGGAAAATTTGGACTAGACAGAAAAAAAACTTGAACACATTGTGTTATGAACACAAAACCCCTCCCAGGACCCTTTCACAAGGTACTGAATAGAGCAATGGTTCTCCGCCTATGTGTGGTAACCCCATTAGACATCAGAAGACCCTTTCACAGGGGTCACCTAAGACTTTCAGAAAACACATATTTATATTACAATTTCATAACAGTAACAAAATTGTAGTTATGAACTTGCCACAGAAAAAATTGTAATGTTACCACAACGTGAGGAGCTGTATTAAAGGGTCGCAGTACTAGGAAGGTGGAGAACCAGTAGAATACAGGACAGGAGCCAGTCTTCCTCAGTGATATTATCAATGAACTTACTTGGTATAGAGTTTTGCTGTGCTTCTAATCAGGAAAACCTTTGTCATCAGTGACTCTTAGTCTTTTTAGGAAAATGGCACCTGTTGAGATTACTAACAGATTTCATGTAGTCCATGAGTCTACTGTCATTTTGGTGCTTCAGATGAAAATTATGTTCTCACTGGTTCCTAATAGGATTGACCTTTTCTAGCATATTTTCTTATTTTTTTTCCCATGACAGTTAATCTCTTTGTTCATACTCAGTAATGTAGTATCATCCATGTAGCTGAGAACTAGGGGGAGGGTAAAAGTAGATACATGTGATTCTCTGTCTACAAATAGGGTACCATTTATTATTCATGTATTTTTTAACATGCCCATGTATGAATTTTTTATGTACCTTGAAACTTTTTCTTTTGAGGCATGCTCTCATTATGTAACTTTCAGTGTAGACCAGGCTAGCCTCAAACTCAGAGAGATCTATCTACCTGTGCCTTTGCTTGCAAGTGCTAGGATTAAAGGCACATACCACCATCCCAAGCATGCTTTTTAACTTAACACTGAACATAAAAGTTAACATTAAAGTGTGATTTAATAAGTATGAATTTACCTTTGTGCTGTTGTGTGTTGGTTTATGTTCATTCCTGTATTCAAGGTGGAGATCACTTGGGATGAGACTGATCATGAAAGAATCACAACCCTTAACAGGAAATTTAAGAAGGAAGAGCTTTTGGACATGGACTTTCAGGCCTACTTAGCTTCCTCTAGTGAGGATGAAGATGAGGTGGAAGAAGCCCCACAAGGTACTTGCTAGTCCTTTTCTTGAGTGGTTAATAGAACATGTCTTGGGCAAACTTAGAAAGATCCCCAAACTGACTGCATACCATATTCGTGTGCATAGAATTGCGTGCATGAATATGCATAGACACATGTTTGAAGGACTGGCAGAATGCTCATTGGGTGCAAGAGTGTGTGGTACAAACCTGGTGACCTGACTTTGATCCCCAGAACCCGTGATGGAAGAACTGGCTCACCAGCGGTTGTCCTCCGACCACCACATGCATGCTTTAGCCATACACAATAACAGTAGTAGCAGGAGCAACAGCAATAAAGTTTAAAAACATTCTAAATACTTTGATAGTCTACAAAATTTACTTAAAGTCTGTCTAAGTAAAAATGCCTAGCCTGTCAAACTTGTAAATATATGAAGTGCTGTTACACACCCCCAACTTTATTGCTAATTAATTAGTTTTGAGACAGTCTCTCTGTATAGACTTGGCTTACCTTGAAGTCACAGAACACAAGAGGTCTGCCTGCCTCTGCTACCAAGTTCTGTGATTTGATTATAGGCATTGACCACTACACCCATGTTTTGCATTGCTGGCGATTGGGCCCGGGTTTTTGTGAATGCTAGGCAAGGATTCCACTAAGATACATCCTCACCCCCACTGTGGGAATCCTGAGTAACTCTTGTACTTTACTGTGTATTGCTTAGGATGTAACACTGTCTTATTTTCCTTGTTTTACACTCCCCAGACTTCCATAGCTCTTTCTTTCTAAATCTCTTTCCTTCAGCTTTAATTTAAGCCTTGTTAAAATGCCCAGAGTAAGAATGATCTACTATCAAAACTCTCTTAAGGTTGGTTTGTCTGAAAATGCCAGAAAATTTTGTTTTGCTTGCAAATCTAAATTGGATTCTCAAAGGCTTCCCTGGATCCACACTGATAATAACACTCCGTTTACTTTCTTACTTGATTGGTGGAAGCTCTCTCGGATTTAATTCATAAAGTGTTAATCTTTTTTTAGTATTGGTGTTCTCAGTAATTTGATTTTTCACTAGTCATTTGATTTTTCTCCTGTCCTTCTAGAACCCTGTTTAAATATGCATTAGCGCTTCCAATGTATCTTCTCATTTTAGACATTTTTGTTTGTTTTATTTTTGTTTTTCAAAACAGGGTTTCTCTGTGTAGTCCAAGCTGTCCTGGAACTCACAGAGATCCACTTTCCTTTGCCTCGAGTGCAAAGGTGTACTCCACCATGCCAACTCTCTCTAGATGTTTTGATTTGGAGCTTTGTATGTACAAGGCAAGCACTCTGCCTCTAACGTACATCCTCAGCACATTTCAGTTCTCTTTTATCTTTATTATTTTCCCATGTACTTCATTCTGGATATTTTCTTCTGTTGACACATCTTCTAGTTTCAAAGTGTCATTTCAGTAGTATGCATTCTGCTAATATCTGTTATCTAGTGAATTCTTTATCTTGGTGGTTATTTCACTTTTAGAAGTCCTGTGTATCTATTTTTCACATCAACAATATCCCTTTTTGTAGTTTACTCTCTTGAGTTTGAGATTTGTCTGGCACTCCCTCTGGACCTCTGCTTAATTCCAGAGACTAGTTGAACTTCCTCTGTGGACTTGAACTTGTGTCCTGGTCCTTGATAGTTCTGGTCCTTCAGTTCACAGCTGCGGATCAGGAGCTAAGTGCTCAGAAACAATACAGACTTTAAACACTGGGGATCATCCTTGTGATAGTATACTGTATTATATTATATTATATTATATTATATTATATTATATTATATTATATTATTATTTAAACATTTGTTTATTTGTGGATTTGACATATTTGAGTGTTTTGTCTTCATGCATGCCTGAAGAGGGAATCAAATCCCATTACAGATGGGTTGGGAGCTACCATGTGGTTGCTGGGAATTGAGCTCAGGACCTTTGGAAGAGCACTCAGGTGCTCTTAACTGCTGAGCCATCTCTCCAGCCCCATGATATTACATTTTCCATTCTTGATTTTGACATGATAATTCTTCACTAACTTGTCAGTTCTTTCAAACTTTAATTTCATTTTCTAATCCCTTTGAAACTTTTATAAGAACTTTAAAAATAGTATATCCAACTTAATCTTCTCAATAAAAAGTTTGATATAGTAGAAGCAATAATTGCCAGCTATATCTTTATTTTAGAAATTTTGATGAGGACTGAAGAGATGGCTCAGAGGTTAAGAGCATCGGCTACTCTTCCAGAGGTCCCAAGTTCAATTCCCAGCAACCACATGATGGTTCATAACCATCTATAATGAGATCTGGTGCCCTCTTCTGGAATGCAGACAAAACACTGAATAATTAATTAATTGATTGATTGATTGATTGATTGATTGATTAATTAATGATGGCTGTGTACTTGTTAAATTGATCATTCTATTTGTTTAAAAATAACTAATTTTGTAAACTATACTACCAATTTTTCTTCCTCATTTAGTTACTTGGTTTTGATTTCTTATGAGTCTGTCACTCTGCTTGTGTGAGTGTGTGGTGTAGATGTGTGCGTGCAGTTATGTGCACATGAGCTGTGGAGGTCACCATTAAGTATCTTCAGTTATTTTGTTGAGACAGGGTCTCTTCCGCTCTCACGGAACGTGGAGCTCCCTAATTGGCTAAGCCGGCTGGCCACCGAACTTCAAATCTGTTTTGTCTCTGTTTCTCAAGTGCTGGGATTGGAGGCTTGCCCAGCTTTTATTTAAACGTTAAGGCCGTATGTTTGCATGACAGACACTCTGAGACCAACTGAGCTGTGCTCAGCCCTATAAAGTATTGTCAGTGCAATGTGAGATTATTTTTCCATTTGTTTGCTTGTTTGTTTGCTTTGGCTGTTCAAGGGATTCAACTGGTCTACAGCTATAGCCCTTCAGCTTTTGTGTGATATTATCTGCCTTCACATCTTTGTTGTTTTTATCTAATAGAATTAGCAAACATTAACAACTGTGAGTTCAGTGAGAAAAAGTGAAAAACCAGAAATGTTAAACATAGATATAAGTACTTTAAATCAGCAAGAAAGAACATCTTTATTTATAGTTTAACTTTTTTCTTAGTGTTTGCCCTTTACATGATGTATTATTTCTATAACCTAGTAGCATATGAAATAATACATAAGTACTTTTCTACTTTTAACATGGGCCTAATATTTTAACATAAAGCCTTGACTTTCTTAGATTCTGAATGGTGTGTTTGTTTGTTTGTTTGTTTGTTTGTTTTTATATCACTGAAAGTAGTGCCTTACCGTTTTAAGTTTGCCATAAAATACTATTTTACAGTTACCAGTTTAGGGAAAGGAAAATTGTGTTTCATAGCTGCTGTTTATTTGTATATCTTACATACTGATAAAGCCATGTAATTACATAAGTGTTTTATACTCTGAAAAAGTGTAGTTTGCAGGCTGGTGAGATGGCTTAGTGGGTAAAGGCTCTTGCTGTCAGGCCTGATGGTCTGAATTTGGTCCCTAGGTCCCACCCACACAGGGAAGGAGAGAAGCAACTTCTCAGAGTTTTTATGGCACATGTATACATACAATAAATAAATGTAATGAAGCTTTAATAAAAAGCATATGTAATTTGCAGTGGTGCTTGTATTGGATATGAAAGACTATACATTTTTAAGGCTATGGTGGCTGGTGCTTGTTAATCCATCTGATGAATCTGAAGGTTTTTTTTTTTTCTTAATGTACATAGTATAGCCTCTCACAGACCTTTATAGCCTTTCCCTTGTAAATCAAAAGGATGGATTTGTCTTCATCTACTGTAGGTATAGGAAAGAAATTTATATGTCTGCATGGACATTATGTACTTTTCTGAAATTCTCAATAGCTTTTTGTTCGTTTTTGTTTTTTTTACTAGGTCCATGTTTTTCAGATGGGCTTTGTTTGTTTTTGAAAAATGGAACTAAATTTTATTCTTTTTTATTACACTTATAGGGTGAGTGTGTGTGTATACATATATTGAGTATGAGTATGGAAATTAGAGAAGAGCTTGAAGGAGTCAGTTGTTTCTTCCTACCATGTGGGTTCTGGGGATCAGAGTCAGTCACCATGCTTGACAGCAGGTATCTGTCCTCTCTGAGCCATTTCACTCATCCTGGAATTATTTTACTTTATTTCATTTTATTTTATATATATGGGTGTTTTGCCTGCTTGTCTGTGTGCTGTTTGAGCAACCCTAGTGCCTATAACAGCCAGAAAAGGGCATCTCTTCAAGATCCCTTGGATCTTGAATTATGGATGGCTTCTGAGCTGTCATATGAGCACAGGGAATTGAACCCAGGTCCTCTGGAAGAGGAGCCAGTGCTGTTATCCATTGAGCCATTTCTTTACCCACCCAGCCCCCATTTAAAATTTAAAACAGTTAACAGTAGGGCACTTTATATCAGGAAATAAGTATTAATATCAGAAAGTAAGCCGTAATTTTTCATTATATTTAATATCTTGTACTAAATGGACTTACTCTCTTGGCTATGGCTCAGTGGTAGAGTTTTTGCCAAGCTTCATAAAGCACTATGGTTAGACTTCAGTATTGTAAAATAGGAAGAAAAATCTTTAGACTCTGCTGGTTCCAAATCTTGACTTTACCACATAGTGAAATAGCAGAGGTCAAGTTTTCTTAGCTCTCTGTTCCTTCCTTTGTGTAGTTGGAAGTAAGAATTATAATAGTAGCTGGCTCATGGAATGATTGAAATGATGTCTATAAAGTATTTAACATAGTATCTGGTATTGTATATTTTAATTCCTAAAACTAAAGATTAATGTCTTTCAGTCTGAAATATGCCAATTATGTTCTCTTTCAAAAGCATGCCTTTTTCTTCTGTATTTTAATTGATTACAAACTTGCCTTAATCTGTAACTTAGTGGCTGTGATAGCTACATTAGTATTTTTTAGTACTAAATGTTCCTGATTGTTGTTTATAAGAATAGCTTACTGTTTGAATTTATTTTTAAAAAATCTTAAGTACTATTAGGACATTCATAAAATAATGTCCTTGAATTAGAAAAACAGACCTACATGAGTTATCCCACATTTTAGAGCTTCAGAAAGTACAATTTTAGTACTGGAAAAAATCAATTTAAAGTAAGCCATCAGAGACTTACCACTAAAATTTCAACCTGGAAGGAGCTTGCTTCTAATTATGTTTTCAGAAGTAAGCTTTTAATAGAATGAAATACATTGCCATTTTGTTAATGTGTTCCTCATGTTTTATCCATTGAATTATGGGACATAGAACAGAATTCCATCTAACATTATTATTGTGGCACAAAGCACAAACAAAACAAAACAAAAAAATGAGTTTCGGCTGTGTGGGTGAAAATGTAAAAGTGTGATAGGATGATGGAAAGAATGCCCACAGCCATTTTGTATTCATTAGAAAGAAAAATAATTGTTAAATATTTACTTACCCGATGTCTTCCCTCACATGTCACCTTTTTTGAAGAACAAGGTGTGAACACTGACGTTCTGTAGCTCCATGCTTATACTACAGTTCAGTGGCCCACAGGTTACAGAGACAGGAACTTGAGCCTTGCTGCCTCACTTTCAGCCTTCCCTCTACTGGAGATGTTTAATGAATTTGACAAGTTTGTATGTTTTACGTTAAAACCCAGTTTTCTATTTTATGTTACTGACTTGAAGAATTTACATTGAAACTATAGAACAAACTTCCTTTATGGGTTGATTTTCTCTGATACATGTTGCCGATGAGTTTTATACTGTTTCTTCACATTTTAATTTTTATGAAACTAGAATATTAGAAATAATCAGTTACCTTTCCACACAGCAAAATTAATTGAATTGATGAACAACACTCTAGGAGTAAATGTGCCTATTCACAATCCAGTGGAAAGGACTTCATAGTGTCAGATTTATATTCTAAACAGCTTCCTTCGCCTCTTCTCTGTGGCCTGAGAGGCCAATCCCATGTGCCGAATCCAGCAAAGTTCAGCCTCCTTTTGTTGAACAGAATATTTTCAAAGCCGCTGTGCTGGTGACGGAGGACAGAGAAGGGACTAAAGTGTACCCTAGTGCTCTTGCAGTTTCACAGAAGGGAATTTTATGTTGTGTCTGACAATGGCTTTGTTGTGTCTGGGTCTTACTGAATACAGGACCAAAGTCTTTGCTTTTATTTTTACAAGTTGAGGTTGTGTTCCGTGGTTGCAGTATTTTTTTAACACGACATTGTAGCCGTGTCCTGAAGAGAGCATGAGAGCTAAACAGTAAAGTGGGAAAATAATTGTTTCTCTCTATTAAATGAGATTGATTAATTTGCTTGTTTGTTTTAGGTGAGGATGGAGTCAGTGTAGGAGAAGATGGCAAAACAAAGAAAAGCCAGAAGGATGATGAAGAACAAATTGCTAAGTATAGACAGCTCTTGCAGGTTATTCAAGAAAAAGAAAAGAAAGGAAAAGAAAATGATATGGAAATGGAGATCAAGTGGGTTCCAGGTAAGAATTAGATATTAAAGGTCAAGTTTGCTTCTGAATGCATTTAGCTGTAATAATAAAGCAAACTTTTAAAAAAGTTATTGTCCAGAAATAAAATTTCTAGTAAGGAAATGGTATTTAATTCACCTCAGAATTAACATTTATGCTATTTTTCCTTTTTTTTTTTTTATTTTTTTTTATACAGTACACTTTGATCATATTCTTTCCCCTCTCCCTACCCCCCAGATCCTCCCACCTCATACCCACTCAAACCTCATGTTCTCTCTCAAAAAAAAGAAAAATGTTTAAAAAGATGAAAAAAAACAAACTCAAAAGAAAATAAAGAACACGCGCATACACACACATAATAAAACTAAGTACACAGAAAACCAGTGGCCTCTCTTATGTAATGGCTACTCCTGGGCATAGGGCCTGCCCCAGCTTCTGGCTGACGTACCCAGTGCCATTCTCTTAGAGAAAACTGATTTTTCCTCTCCCAGTAGGTATCAATTGCAAATATCTTCTTGATTAGGGATAGGGCTGTGTCTACTTCCTCTTCTCAGTGCCGAGGTTTTGTCTGATGTGAACCTGCTGCTCTTGTTCGTTCTGTTGCAGTCTCTGTGAGCTCTTACATGTGTCAGTCCTATTTCTGGGAATGCTGTTTCTCTGGAGCCTTCTGGCTGTTAAAATCTTTCTACCTCTTTTTACCTATATATTCCCTGAGCCTTGGGGTGGGGCGTGGGGGGCCATCATTTTATACTCTTTCCAGCTTATATTTTATTAGTTTTTTGGTTGTACTAACTACAGGTTATTCCTGTCCAGTTATAAGCATAGCCCTTTCCTAGGTCTGATTCCTCTATTTAGAATATTGAAAGTTGAAACCAAGTATTAATTATTACAATTCTTTTCCAAAGCTATAGTTCTCAAGTGATCCCTTTTCCTGTCACCTTTATTGTTTCTTCATTTATAAGGTTTCACTAATATAAAATGTGTTATTGAGTGTTCCATGTCAATCTTGCTTGAGTTAAAAAATGTGGCCTAGTAGAATAGTACCATGCAAATTTTAAAAGGTCAAACCTAGGAGCTGGAGAAATGGCTCAGTGATTAAGAGCCTTGTCTGCTCTTCCAAAGGACCCAGATTCAATTCCCAGCATCCACATGGCAGCTCACAACTGTGTGTAATGACAATTCCAAGGGATCTGGCACCTTCACACTAATGCTTCACACTAATAAAATAAAATTAAATAATTTTTTTAAAATAAAAGTCAAGCCTAAAGATAGGTTAAAGCTAGCATAAACAAGGATTGTCCCATACAATATACATTTACACACGCACACACCAATAGTTATAGACATATCTGCATGTACTTTTGGAAGTAGAAATGCTTACAGACTACTGCTATTTACATATAATTCATCACCTCACTGTTTCTACTGTTCATTCCAATATCTCCTACATATACAAATACATGAGCTGTCATTTGCAGATAACTTGTATACATCATCTTGTATACTTAAAATCATATCTAAATGACAAAGGCCATGTAAACAGTTGTCATAGTAAATACATATTTTTGATAGTGACAAACAATATAGGTGTTCAGTGCAGGTACAGTTTCAGGATTTTTTTTTTAATAGTTTTTATTGAAGTTGGTGGATATAGAATCCATGGATACAAAATTTTGCCCCTGTTTTAGTGATGAATTTTGATCTGTGATTTTCTTGAAATACCCTTGCTAATAGAGTAGGAGACCTCATGAAGTTAATTAGGAGCTATACCTCTTAGTGTGTTTTTATCTTGACTTTTGCTTTGTGGAAGGAATGCTAATATTAGCTAAAGTTTTGGTTTTGTTTTGTTTTTAATATAAAATGAAGGGGTTGGGGATTTAGCTCAGTGATAGAGCTTCAAGCACAAGGCCCTGGGTTTGGTCATCAGCTCTGGAAAAAAAAAAAGAAAGAAAGAAAATAATATAAAATGAAAAATTATCACTCATAATTCTACCACCCTGACTCAGCTATGGCTTGGGTAAGTTCTAGTTCCATTTGTCATTCCTCTGCTGTCAAATGTTTAACCATATTTCTAATCTTTCAGTGCAGTGGATTGTGGCATTAAGAGAAGCAGGACAGTTTCCAAAGCCACAAATATTGGTCCTTTCTAAGGCCTCTTGGCTTTCATCACTAGCCAATACCTGGCTTGTGTTTTTTAGGTTTTCTTAATTTTAAAAAACAACAGTCTGTTTTTAAACAACAGCCTTCCCATTCCCCGTCCCCTTTAGAAGGCCGGTGAAGAGCATCCATGCCAGAGCGAGAGTTAGATGCTGGCAGTCAAGCTCACACTAGTCAGCTGTGCGCCTTCCTCTTCACACATGCTGGGGCCAGCCTGTGGTTGTCTCAAACCTACGTCAGAAGGATCAGTACTAAACCCAGGTGCCAGGCGTCACAACCTTCCTAATGCTGCACCGCTTTAATACGGTTCCTCGTATTGGAGTGACCCCAACCATAAAATTATCACATTGCTACTTCATAGCTGTAATTTTGATATTGCTGTGAACTGTAACATAAATATGTGATATGCAGGATATCTAATAGGCGAAAAGATTATAAACCACTGGGCTAAGATGTTATACAGAATCTATATCTTTTTCACAGCTTGAGCTATTTTTTGTAGAGTAGCTTCCCAAAATAGAAGTACCAGCAAGGGACATGGGCACTTTCTGTGTGTTTCTTGAGGTTGCTGTCAGATTTCTTCTCCAAAATGTCACATCAATTTATAGTTTCTTCAACAGTCAGGACGTTTCACGTTTTTCTGAATGGAGTGATGTTGATTTTCTTAGAGAATTGAATACATCAACTTAAAATGTTTTTAAAACTATACTGACATTTATAAATATTCAAACTGTGTGTGTGTACATACATGTGTGTGCTTCTGTGTAAAGGTAGGTGGTTTGTGAAGGTCACAGAACAACTTTCAAGAGTCATTTTTCTTCTTTCCAGCATGAGGCTTCTTAGAATCAAACTCAGGTTGTCATGTCTGGGGACAAGTACCTTTACCTACTTAGCCGTCTTGCCAGCCCAATCTGTATTTTTGAAGGCTTCTGATAGGGTGTTTTTACTGTGAATGCTTGTTGTATACATGTATATGTGAGTGTGATTGTGAAAGGGGTTTTTTACATATATGTGCTATGTGAGGTAATAGAGCTACTTTTTCTCAACATCGGTTTACAAATTTGAAGAGTAGGATTAATAATATTTAGTTTTGAGGCATTTGTGAAGGTATATTTCATGTCATATGTATTTTGATAGATTTATCTTAAGAAAATACAGGTTTTCGGTAACAATTATTATGAACCTGTGTGCTTCTGTGATATACTTGAGTAAACAAGAAAGGCCTGGGAGAGTATTAATATTAAACTCTTGAGAAGAATAAGTAATCTTACTTATACTTGTTTGAGTTGAAGGAAACTTTATGCTACGTAAACTTCTGCCTCTTTACATTGAATATAGTCACTAAAGTGTAAGGACCAAGTGAAATAGACAGCAGGCTCCAGTCATAGAAACCCAGTATCTGTGGACTTGACTAAGGTAAACTACTCTTTCTATTGATACTTACTTACTATGAAAATGTAGTAATTCAATCTTACTAATTAAGACTATGTAGGAACATTAATTAGAAGACTCTTGAAAAATCTGTAATTCCTTAGTTTTGTCTTTGTGACATAGCATCTTCTACTGGATACTGTGTAAAGTTCCTGTCTGACTCTCCAAAGAGTTAAATCAGTGAGTGTGCCTCCTGCTATCTCACCCTGAGAGAGCAGTTCCCCTTTCTTCCTGCCTTGGGCCATAGAGTGGGGTTACAACTCATTTTCACCACTTTGTCTTGCCTCCACTTTTCTTTTGTTTGTTTGTTTGTTTGTTTTGTTTTGGGGGTTGGGAGTTTGTGTGTTTTGTTTTTGGTGGTGGTGGTGGTTTTTCAAGACAGGGTTTCTCTGTGTGGCCTTAGCTATCCTGGAACACATTGTGCAGACCAGACTGGCCTTGAACCCAGAGATTGACCTGCCTCTGCAGGGGTTAAAGGAGCGTACCACCACTGCCCATCCACTTGTCGAAGCAGCGAGCCCATTTTATGTCTGCTTTTTATTCTTTGTGGCCCTGCTCCCGTCTTTCATTGCTCTGCTCTTTTGCTGTTTTCCATCGGGAAGCTTACACAGACATCAGAGACAACACACATGGCTGTTGAATTATTCATTGTTTATTCAGAAACAGTGTGTTGAACCAGTTGTATATTCCTTTTGTTAGGTAGCCTTGATCCAAACATTTAATTTTCTGGCATCTTAAAACCTGTTCACTATTTATTTTTGGCTATATCTCTATTTCCATTTATTGCCAATGTACTCATTATTTGAAATACATTCACAAAATGTTTTTTGTTTAAAGCTTTTTAAAAAGCCAGATGTTTTAAATTTTGAGTTGAAGGCCATGGATGTCACTCAGTGATAGAACATTTGACTGGTAGACCCTGGCTAAGTCTTTAGTGACACCAGGTGGCGGGGGGGGGGTTAGGGAAGGAGTTAGAAGGTGGGATGGAACTCAGGGGCTGAGCACTTGTCTAAATGAATTCCCAAGTTTATCCTCAGAACCACAACACTAAAAAAAAATCTCCAAATGCCATGCTGAAAACAAGTAGCCTTAGGCAGATAAAAGAAAGAAGAGTTGAGTTGAGGAGAGCATCAAACGGAAGGCCTGCGCTTAAAAATGAGCTAAAGTACTTTGCAATTTGCCTCCTCGTCTGGTGATAGAAAAGAAAGTCTATGTAATAACTGCAGAGTCACGCAGCTATTAGGTGATTAGACTTTCAGCCTGATCATCCAGTTAGTAGGTTAGCTTTGTAAAGTAATAAACTGAAACTTCATCCTATGTGAAGACTATCGGGATTGTTTGTGGACTGTACAATAAAAATGAAACGCAGAAGCTACAGTGATGACTCAGCAGTTAAGAGTGTTGACTGGTCTTGCAGGGGACCT